GTTCCACGGCCATGATCAGGAACACGCGCACGCCCACGCGCACGATGGTGCCGGCATGCTCGACGACTATGGCGCGGCAAACTTGAGAGGGCCAAGTGACAGCGAGGATGACGACGATGAATCATTTACCGCCGGTCGACGCACTAGTCAAGATGGTTTACCTCACATGGCTTGGGATGAACGGGAACCGATGCCCGAGCTTGCAGCACCTCTGCTACCGGCAGGTTTGCCGGCGGCAAGGAGACACGGCGGTTTCGGGTCCCGCATCCAAGGAGGACCCGAACCCGAATTCGACTTCAATACACCACCAGAAGGCGGCTCCAACAAGGACTCGCAGACCCCGGTGGCAACTGTTCATGAATACCTTCGTATCTACCGACAGGCCAATGGCGATCCTGAGAAAATTCTTAAAATCATTGAGGAGGAGAAGTTGGATGAGCCACTTGGCTATTGGGCAAGGATCACCAAGTCGATGATGGAAAAGAACCGAGAATCGGGCGCTTCTCAGTCGAAAAAGAGCCAAGCTGGACTTGAAGGATCCTCCGCCTCTCGAGATTCGCAAGCCACGTCCCCATTTTCGGTCCAACTGCCCGCCCCCTCAACACCACAGTTCTCATGGCCGCCGCAACCGCTTGGCGAGAGTAGTACCAACGGAACAGGAAAGGGTAAGGAGAAGGAAGCATCGACAGATTTTGGTTTCGAGTCTGGTTTGGGAGAGGAGGGCGCAAGCACCTCGAGATCGACTCCATTCCAGAGTCCTCTTCGGCCTCGCTCCGTTTCCGACGGCCCTCAGATGAACAATAACATCAATCCACTTGCGAACAACAGTTGGTCATTTTCCGGCTTGAATACTGCACCGCAGCTGGCCGAACCCCAGGCTCAGGAACCAATGCAATCATTTGGCTTTGATCCGCAAGGACAAGAATTCGGTCTTCCCCCAGCCCGTTTCACACCACCGCGCAGCAATACCCCAGATTTCGGCTCCGATGCGGATCACGATTTTGAGACAGTTGAACCGATTCACGAAGACGGGCTTTTTGGACTCAATGAGCCAGAGATGCAACTGCCAGATGACGTCGTCCCGGCGCAATTCGTTGGCGTGCCCGAAGAGCCCCTTGAGGACATCAACGGCTTGCCTCAAGATACTGAAGACGGTCGGCCAGCCCAGCGGCCGCCTCTTCAGCGGGGAGTCATGGACCGTGTGGCCGATTTCATGTGGGGCGACATCGAGGTTCGAGAGCTGGATATTGGTGGCCGAGACGACGATGCCGCTCATGAACATGATCATGATCATGACAGCGACGATGATGACTTTGACGACGACCTGGATGATGACGAGCAAGACGCCGTCGAGCAAGACCGCGAGGTCGTAGAAGCTGCTGTCGCCGCCGGGCTTGACCCCGAAGCGATTGACGACGCCGAAGATTTCGAGGGCATCATGGAATTGATCGGCATGCGTGGACCCATCGCTGGCCTCTTCCAAAATGCCATCTTCTGCGTCGTGCTTGTCTCTGTCACCATCTTCGTCTGTGTTTTCATTCCTTACAACCTGGGACGCGTCAGTGTCTGGGCTGCCATGAACCCGATGCGCCTTGTGAGAATGCTCTTTAGCGCGACAAAGTTCATTCAAGATGTTGCTGTTGGCGTCATGAGCGGTCTGACCAGTCTGACCTTGTGCTTCATCTACACAACAGGGCGCATGATGGGCTTCCCAGCCAAGAATGGCGTTGGCTTGCTCATGAAGAAGACGTTCGACATTTTCACGAGTGCTTCAACCAGGGTCCTCGAGAGCCTGACCAGCGAGTTACCCATCATTTCAACCACCGAGATGCAAAACTTCTCCGCCATCAGTCATGAGGCACTACTCAGCTTCAAGTCCCTTCTCTCTGGTTCTTTTGCTGCCGTGGGAGACGTACTTGGCGCCATCTTCGACCGCGATCTCATAGCCAACACCAAGTATGCAGCCTCACTCTCTGCGAATGCGACCATGTACGCATGGAATGCCGTCCGCGATGTCCCCATTGGCATCCTCAACCCCGGATCATGGGTGATCAGCTTCAGTGTGCCGGAGCCCTCGACGGCCGTCAATCCCGCACTGTCGTACTGGTCAGGCACTGATCGATTCTGGGCCATTCTCTGCGGCTACTTCACCTTTTCAGCAATCAGCGCGCTCTACCTAAAGCGTGGTTCGCCATTCTCGACAGGACAGACGGGCCAAGATTGGGAAGCTTCATTGATCGACTTACTCAACCAGGCTAGTGGCGTCATGAAGGTCATTCTCATCATCAGCATTGAGATGCTCATTTTTCCGCTGTATTGCGGCCTCCTCTTGGACGTGGCCCTATTACCACTCTTCGAAGCAACCACTTTGAAATCGCGAGTCGCCTTTACCGTCAATTTTCCGCTCACCTCCATCTTTGTACATTGGTTCGTGGGAACGGGGTACATGTTCCACTTTGCCCTGTTTGTTTCCATGTGCCGAAAGATCATGCGGAAAGGTGTTCTCTGTAAGTTTATGCTGTTTTTTGTTACTAGTCACCTCAACTAATCAGTACAGATTTCATCCGCGACCCAGACGATCCCGAGTTCCACCCCGTTCGCGACGTACTGGAACGCAACGTAGTAACACAGTTGCGAAAGATTCTATTCTCTGCGTTTGTGTACGGCGCACTCGTCATCGTTTGTCTCGGAGGTGTGGTATGGGGTCTAGCTCTGTCTCTCCCGAGCGTCCTGCCGATTCACTACTCCTCCAATGAGCCTGTCTTGGAGTTCCCCGTCGACCTGTTATTTTACAACTTTGCTATGCCTCTGGCAGTCAAGTTCTTCAAGCCTAGTGATGGCTTGCATGCCATGTACACCTGGTGGTTCCGCAAGTGCGCCAGAGGCCTCCGATTGACTTGGTTTTTGTTTGGTGAACGCCGCATCGACGAAGAGGGCATCCTGGCGCTGCGTCCTGGGTCGGATCAGCTGTCTCTCCCTTGGTGGAGGCGTGCCCTCCTCGAGGTGAACAAAGAAAATAAGGTGGTGCCCAAGACGTGGGAGGATACATTTGAAGGTGGCACGGCGAAGCCAACATCGACCATTGCATCCGACCAGATGGTCATCCTCACCATCAAGAAAGCAAGCCTTGTTAAAACTGGGCAGCTGATTGAAGAGGGCCAATTCGTTCGGACTCCTGCTTCGGACCAGGTCAAGATTCCTAAGGGACGACGCGTGTTCATGCCTGTTTCTGAAAGCAACTCCCGACTAGATGGCAAAGATGACACGCCCGATGCCGACCTTTACTCTACGGACCAATATCAGCTGGTGTACATTCCACCGCACTTCCGTGCTAGGGTCTTTTTGTTCATCATGTTCATCTGGATCTTTGCCGCAGTCACGGGCGTCAGCTTCACTATTATACCTCTCGTATTCGGCCGCAAGATGTTCAAGGTTCTCATCCCAGCCCACATTCGTACCAATGACATTTATGCTTTCAGCATCGGCATCTACATTTTGGGCTCCACGGCGTATTTCCTCTTCCATGCCCGGTCCATCTTCAACAAAATGAAGACGTGGGCATCTTCGAATCTACAGTCTGTGTGGCAGAGCGATGCTCCCATGCGGGTTGCGCTCATGGGCATCCATACTGCCAGGCTTGCTTACGCATATACGATCCTTTTGGTCGTTTTCCCTCTCATCCTTACGGCACTTATGGAATTGTACTGCCTCATCCCTCTTCACACTTACATGTATCCTCCGACACCTTACGTCATCGGGACCAACAATGGTGGTCAGTTCAAAGACGGTGTTGTGGTGTCGAACCAGCACACAGCGAGAGTCATACAATCCTGGACTCTGGGATTGCTCTACGTCAAGCTCGGAGCGCGGACCATCACCAGCCTGTATGAGGGCACACGCTTGGCGCAAGCCGTTCGCGCGGTCCTTCGTCGCGGATGGCTCCAGCCTGACGTTCTCGTGCTTACGAGGGCTTTTGTTGTTCCTGGTCTGCTCATCGGCTGTTTGGCCATATTCGGACCTCCGTATGTCGTAGGCTGGTTAGAGTCACAAGGCATGCTCGGCGTACCTGTACCTGCACCCCATGAACTCAAGATGATTTATCGTCTTTCTTATCCGGCGGCTGCGTTCATCGCACTGGCAGCCATGGCATTCTGGAGTATTGTTGGCGTCTTCAACAACTGGAAGGCGCGTATAAGAGATGAGGCCTACCTTATCGGGGAGAGGCTTCACAACTTTGGTGTCGGTGCTGCGGGTGCTGCCGGCGCGCGGGGGCCGTGGCGGGTTCGGGGACGAGCCTAAATTTCCTGATGCAAGAATTACTCTGGTTACTATGTCATGATTACCCATAGACGGAGGGATGTTTACTCGCGATCGGATTCGCTTCGTGTAGTTTATATATCAAACAGGCCGAACGCCTCTTACATACAACGGTCTTTATTCTTATCCACTCATAATGGCTCATGCTGAGTAGATAGTCGCGTAAGCAGTGAGTTGTTTGCGGGCTTGGTGTAACTCTCAAATGCAGCGTATCGTCACTTTGCGGTCTGGGCATTTCACCTGTACTATTAAGTCATCGATTTGGGGATCAAGCTTTAGGGGCCTTTGTCAGCAGTCTACTTGCCCTCGATTCTGCACGCTTCGGATACAATGCTTGTTTTATATTGGCCGCAGCCAGACCTCAGGCCGCCGAGATGTCTTCTAGGTGGCCATGGTCATTTATGTAGAAAGTCGCAACTACTATACGCATCCTTCCAATCATCATCATCCGCTTTCACCAACGCTTTCTTTTCACAGAGACTCTAGAAGAACAAGGCAGCCCCGCCAACAGCAGCAGTAAACGAGACCAAAAGACCAGCCACGGCGCCGGTGGAGAAGACGGTGCCGACCAGAACACTGGGCGCAGCGTTTGCGGTGCTCGAGGCGGAGGCGGAGGGGGTCAAGGTTCCGGAGGAGCCGGAGGATGGCGTTCCGGAGCTTGAGGAGCCGCTGGCGCTCAGGAGGGCCGTGAGGGTGGAGTCTGAGGTGAAGTCGACGGTGACTGTTGCGTTTTTGCAGTCTGAGCGGGTTGGGGCTGTGCCGGAGACGAAGTTTACTGCGGCGCACTGCGGATGTGTTAGTGAGGGTTGTTCTTTGGTAGACGGTTTTGAGGAGGAAGAATCCCGTGAAGAGAGATTGTGGTTGTAAGAGAATGTAAAGAGACGAGAAGAACTCACAGTATACAAAAGCCCATCAGGCGAATGCGCAACAACGCTAACAACACCCCTCTTTCCCGTCCAGTTCCCCGGCGCGGCAATCTTGGGCTCGCAAAAGTTGCCGAGGCCGGTCTGCATGACGATCGGGAACAGCTGCGTCCAGCCGGAGGCGGCGGTCTGGTCGAGCGTGGCGCGGAAGAGCCAGTTTGTCTGCGGGTGACCGTTTTCCATGCCAATGGCGTCGCCCTCGACGTAGAAGTCTGTCGCGGCGGAGGACGAGGAGGCGGTGTAGCCGCCGCAGGGGGCGGTGGCCTCGTTGTCGTCTGAGTCGCCGAGGGGTTTGGGGAGGGTCATGGAGAAGTGGGCTGTTGCTGTTGAGGCGAGGAGGAGGAGGGGGGTTAGGAGGCGGGTCATTTTTGCGGTTGGTTTTGAGTCGCGAGGTTGAGGTGAGTGAGGTTGGTGATGTTGAGAGTTTGGTGTAGATGTGTGTAGTTTGATGTGTGAGGACTTTGGGTATCGAGGCGCACAGCGCGGAGAGAGGACAGGTATTAGGAATTGTGTTTGATAAGATGGTGATATGTTAGGTGTGATGCAGACGGAGGGGAACACGGGCTGTTTATGAACGAGACCGGCGTTGCATGGGATGGGTATTGGTCAATGGGCGGGAGGAGAATGACCCGAGCAATGGGGTTTCGTTACTCTCTCACTGTCCTGTAGGGCTAGCCTGGTTGCGCCGTTTGTCTCGAAGGAGCTTAGATTGGGTAACAGCAAAGCTCCTGAGGAGCTCGCGGTTTTGTTTGGCAAGGGTGGTGCGGATATCTCACGAGCGGGTAGAAAGGAAGAACTAAGCATTTGGATGAGATACATGGCATCCATGGAGTGGAGAGAGATGGAAGGTCTTGCCGAATCTCTCTCGCCGTTACACGAGAACGAGTGAGAGTGAGCCTCAGTTCTGTGCCTTGAAGGTAAGCTACACAGGTGGGAAAAGAGGGTTTGTGAGAACCTGAATGGGTGAACGAGAACCTCGGATTCAATCATCAATGGACTAGGATGCCTAGATCCGGCAGTCGGCACATGGCGAGGTGGAATTGAGTTACGCCCTCTGGCCAGAAACACTGGGGAGGAAGGTGACTTACTGGGGGCATGGGGCCCGGTGGCGGGAGGAAGAGCTAGGAAGCAGAGATAAAACTTGCTCACTCTGAATGCTGTTGCCGAACTAATTAGCTCCAAGCTTCACTTTTACCACGTTGGATGGTTGCATATCTTCCCCTCTCTGTATGCATGAAAGAACCAAAGGTCTCTCTCTAAGTGGATTCTCCGCGCCGGGACTCTCGGGACGACTCTTGGCTTTCATGTTCAGTGGGGATCACTGATGAGGCTCTGGTAATGTCTTTTGAGTGCTTTCGCAGTCTCCTCTTGTCTCTCCCATCTTCCCAGGCTCTATAGTCACAATGAAATGTCGTCGCGATGCCAACGTGGGATATCTCATAGGCGGCGACGGCGGCGCGCGGGGACGGGTGGCTTGATGCTTAGACGGTTAGACCGTGAGAGGAAGGGATGTAGTTAACCTTAGATAGACTAGCCCCGCGATGCGCGCAGGGACTTGCTGGCTGCGTGACTGGGGCTGTGACCAATCATGAGGCCGTTTGGGAATGTCACTGAGAAGTTTTGAGCAAATTGTGGCGTTTGCGCAGTTGTGATTGGGGGGGGGGACTACCCCTGTTTGAGAGTTCGTCAACTCAGACTCTCACACTCACTCTTCGACAAGGGGCCGGGGGGATATCTGGGGAGAGGGGGGGGGGTTCACGGGGGGTTTTGGGATTGATCTTCTGTCGTGAGCATGTTTCTAAGCTGTACTCCGGACAAAGGAAGAGATTTGGTTGGTATGGTAAGCGATGACTGGGTGGTTGTTGGCATATTCTTACTCTTGAGAAGTTGGTGAGAATTAAAACAAGCTTGTTTCTTAATCTCGGCTATAGAAGAGGACACAGATCAGAGGATGACGGGCATTAGTGATAACCAAGTTGAGAGTTTGAAGCCTGAAGTATGTGTAAGAGCGAATCATGACCCGCGTAAAATCAAACAAACCTAGGAGCCCACACCTCACTTTATCTGATAGATAAGGACTTAGTAAACATGCCGGCAAGAAACTCAAGCAGCGAGTACTTCCCCCCAAGCCGGTAGGATAGAGGAAACTCTCGATGAAGAGGGTGTAAAGTAAAAGTGTAGCCGAGACTCCCGTCGTCGAGAAACATGTTCAGGCATTCCGTACCGTGAGTTGGCGGCGGATCATCCGTCAGCCACCTCTGCTTGAAGCATCCTGTCTGTCCATGGCCTGGGTTGTCACGCCGTGACCATGCCAAACTCGTTCGGATGCATGCTGGACCGTGGTGCGCTAGCTCTTCTCTAAACCAGCGCATTTCGTGCCGCCGAGCCGGCCACTCATTACATGGTACCGTTTCTCTTGTGTCCATCTTCTGGCCAGTCATTAGTCTGGCTTACGCTGCCCAGAGTCTTTGCCTCTTGAACTTGCTCAATACACCTCATTCCTTCGGCCGATTTCAGAGTCTTCAAACGTCGTATAGTCGGGACGTTTGAACTGTCGGAGGCACGGATTTTCTTTCTCGTATTTCGATTATTCGACAAAGGCGTGGTCTCTGGAATTTCATGCGCATGCGAATGGCAATGTATGCTTTGTGAGATGATTCCACGACTTTGCGCTACCTCATGACATCGGCACGGCTGGCCCTACTCTCGACATCTCACAACGGTTTCCTACATCTTACCAACCTGAAGTAAGCGGACTCACCGGGTTCGATAAGAAGTAATCGGCGGAGCTGGAAACCGCCAAAGTTGCAGACCAATAAGTTCAGCGAAAAAATACTACAGCGTACAGTCTTCTTACTGCAAAAGAGCCTCAAAGCCAACAACCGTCGCGATGAGCCATAATCATGGAGGAGGAAGTAGTATGGGAGGAGGCATGACCATGGGAACGGCGCTATTTCAGGAGACAAACGTTCAGCTCGCACAGTCTTTCTGGTACATCATCGCAGGCGTCGTCGGGTTCCTTGGTATCATTCGCGGTCTCAACTACCTCGAGGGCCTAAGAAGGTGAACATTGTTGCCACTGCGTCTGCTGTATACCCTCTGATGCTGATATGTGCAGACTCAAACGATGCCGCACCGAGTCCGTTCGATTCCCGACGAAACCCTCAAATATTATAACACAAATATGGGCGATATCAACAGCGCTCGTCCGCGAAGCAGGCCACCCTCAGCTCTACATCCCGATCAAGGGCCTGCGCTGGGCGACGCCGCCATCACTCGGTCGCGTGCTCGTCCTCTTAGCTTACTGGGCCGTCATTATCTACATGATGGTCAACGACGCCGTCATCAAGGACGCCTACTTCTGGGAGCGCATAGGTTTCCGAAACGCATGGGTCACTGTTATGCAAATGCCCCTCCTCTACCTCCTAGCGATGAAGGTCAACGTAGTGGGCTTCATCATCGGCGCCTCGCATGAACGACTAAGCTGGCTTCATAGGTGGGTCGCCAGGACTATGTTCGTCACAGCGACCGTTCACGGGTTCCATTTCTGGTCGGAATGGGTGCGGGCAGACTTTGTCGAGACCCAACTGAGGATCCTACCCGTTATCAAGTACGGCCTCGGGGCTTGGGGGTTCTCATCTGGACGTTTCTTACGGGTATGAGACCCCTTCGCAGCATGGCGTACGAGCTTTTTCTCCTGCAGCACATCCTCTCGGCGGTCCTCTTCATCTGGCTGGTATACGTCCACATTCCTGCCTACGCGAAGCAGTACCTCTGGTTCTCCGTTGCCATCATCTGCTTCGACCGCCTCGCGCGCTGGGTGTTCCTCGCGTGGCAGAATACGAGGCTCCGACCTAATGGATCGACGTGTAAGGGGATGAAGCGGGTGGGACACGAGGTGCAGATCCGGGCGGCGGGTTCGTCGACGACGGTGTTGACGATCAAGGACGTTCACTTCTCGTGGAAGGCGGGGCAGCACTTGTATCTATGGCTGCCGCGTATTGGACCCCTTGAGGCACACCCTTACACCATTGCGTGCGCACACCAGCTTCCGGAGACGTGTACCTGCAATAGTATCCAGCTCGTCGTCCGGAAACACGGCGGGTTCTCCAAGAGACTTCATAATTATGCCGAGAAGGTTCAGGCATCAGGCAAGAAGGAGACACTTACGGGCTTCGTGTTAGGGCCATTTGGGGCGCCGCCAAGATGGGATATCTACGATACCATGGTTCTCATCTCAGCGTCTACGGGAACGTCCTTCACGCTGCCTATCTTGGAGAGCATCGTCCAGAGCCGCAGGAAGACATGCACTACGAGGATCGAGTTCATCCTCATGGCATGCCAGGGTGAGGAGATAGAATTTTACACACAACGGCTGCGGGAGTCGATGGAACGGGCGCAGCAGAACGGCATCGAGCTGCAGGTGCACATCGCCATAACGCGGTCCGGCAAAGCCAAGGAAGGCGAGGCGACGACGGTTCTCTACTCAGACCGCGAAGGAAGCTCTAGCTCGAGTTCGTCTGCAAAACACAGAAGGATCGCCTCTGACGACTCCGTGGACGGCAGTGGCGGTGGTGGGTGTTGTCAGGAGAAAGGGCTAGACTTGGAAAAGGGCGATGAGGTGCCGCTTACACCCAGGATCCGGAGCGGATCCGTGATGAGCATGGTGAAGGAGTACTATTCTCGTCCTGATCTGGAAGCTTTGATTCGAGAACCTGTCGAGGCTGCGGGCGGCGAGACGTCGATCGTTGTCTGTGGTGGGCAATCGTTGACGAGTTCCGTGAGGAATTGCGTGGCCTCATTATCGGATGAGAGGGCGGTCCATAAGGGGACGGGGGCGCAGGGGATTCATCTTTTTGTTGAGGAGTACTCGTTTTAGATTATATCCACGTAATTACCACCTCATGCAAACCGTTGGAATTCGACGCATATTCATGCCGCACGCCAACATGTGTAGATATCATGTTTACAAAAAAAGAAACCAGTTGGATTGGTATACAAGGTTCAAGGACGTAGATGTGATTGGTGAAGATTACAAGTCGAGAAGGATTGTTTCAAATGGCTTGATTGGTACATGTATTACCGGCTTCATCAGCATCATGTATTAATAGTCTTATCAAGAGAGAGCTTACGCGGTGAGCTTCATGTAGGATTTGGCTGCTCAACAACTAGGCACTATTCATGCCGGCTATCAAGTTGATTGTGGAATGAGAAGAACGTGAAGAACGTGAAGACGTGTAGAGTATATATACCCCTTAAAACTACTCATGCTCTCTGTTGTGTTGTGAGAGAATCATAGGCCGATGATGAGTTTTGGTGGAATCCTGGTGAAGGTGAGCTCACCGAGAGTCGCCGGCGGATTGCCCCTCCATACGGGACTCACCGAGCAAAATTACCCCTCCACTCGGTGAGCCCAGGTGAAGCCCCACATCGCCAGCCAACCAACCAAATGGACGAATGGCTCAGTGACTCAGGCTGGCCGTCGGTCCGCAATTTTTTCTCTGCGGGTGACAAACATCGGCCACAGCCCTCAGCCCAGCGACCCCTCCCCCTCCTTGCCTTTTTTCTTTCTCGTCCCCCTGCAGCCCAGTCCCCGTCGTCGAGTCTCTTAATGACTAGCGTCGCGCGCTTCATATTCTCTTCTTCTTCTTCTTCTTCACTTCGTTCAGCCCACGTTTATCCCACAAGTCTTCGACGAGGAGCGTCTTCTGCCGCCTCAGCCTTCGTCCACTACCCTCCTCGACGACGACCTCCAACGTCCACCACGCGACTCTACTCCTCGACGACCCCGAACCGGTCGACCCTCGCCAAACCTCCCCCGGCCCCCACCATCTCGCTTGCGACAATGGCCGACCAGATCACGGCGCAGCTCGAGAAGCTCTCCGTGAGCAAGCTTGAGTCCTATCCCGGCTGCTACCCCGAAGTCAACCCCATTGACGTCTACCGTTCCCACATCACCTCGCTGCTGCAGCCTGTCACCGGCGTCGAGAGCACCATCATCTACAACGCCCTCCAGTGGACCCAGAGCTTGGACAAGGGCGATTTGGTGCTGGCCGTCCCTGCCCTTCGCATCAAGGGCAAGAAGCCTGCTGATCTGACTGCTGAGTGGCTCGACAAGGTCAGTCTTGAACCAAGATCATTGGAATAACCCGTAGTCGTGCATCAATGCGCGATAGCTCTTTCGTGCCACCCTCGAATGTTGGACTAACACGCCTTGGATACAGATCCCCGAGTCTCCCTTGATCGAGAAGCCCGTCTCTTTCCAGAATGGCACTTTCCTTCAGTTCTGGTTCAAGCCCGGCCCCCTTTCCCAGCTCCTGGTCCCCCAGGTCCGGTCCCGCGGCGTCGACTTTGGCAAGAACCCCAACAACGGCCTCAAGAACACTGAAGATAAATCCCAGGGCAAGAAGAAGATCATTGTCGAGTTCTCCTCCCCGAATATCGCGAAGCCTTTCCACGCTGGTCACTTGCGAAGCACCATCATCGGTGGCTTCATTGCCAACCTGTACGATGGCGCCGGCTGGGATGTGACCCGTATCAACTACCTTGGTGACTGGGGAAAGCAGTACGGTCTCTTGGCCCTGGGCTTCGAGAGGTTCGGTAGTGAGGAGGCGCTTGCCGCCGACCCCATCAACCACCTGTACGAGGTCTACGTCAAGATCAACAAGGATATGGCCGACGAGAAGGATCAGATCACCGCAAAGGAGCAGGCCGGCGAGGACGTCACCGCGCTCAAGGACAACAGCCTCGACGAGCAGGCTCGCAAGTACTTCAAGGCCATGGTTGATGGAGACGACAAGGCCGTTGCTCAATGGAGGCGATTCCGTGATCTCAGCATCAAGCGTTACAAGGAGACCTACGCCCGTCTCAACATTCACTTCGACGAGTACTCAGGCGAGAGTCAAGTCTCTGAGGCGGATATGGAAGCTGCTGCCAAGCAGCTCGAGGACATGAAGATTTCCGAAGAGTCAGAAGGCGCCGTCATCATTGACTTCACCAAGCACGTTCCCGGAAAGCCGGGCAAGAGTTTGGAGCGCCCCATTATTCGCAAGAAGGACGGCACAGCTCTGTACCTGACCCGTGATATCAGCGAGCTTCTCCACCGTCAAAAGAAGTACAACTTCGACCACATGATTTACGTCGTCGCGTCTCAGCAAGATCTCCACTTGAAGCAGCTCTTCAAGATTATCGAGCTCATGGGCCATGGCGAGACGGCCAACAAGTGCCAGCACATCAACTTTGGTATGGTTCTGGGAATGAGCACCCGCAAGGGCACTGTCAAGTTCTTGGATGACATTCTGCGCGACGTCGGAGACAAGATGCACGAGGTGATGAAGAAGAACGAGGCCAAGTACGCCCAGGTCGCCGAACCGGAGGCTACGGCCGACATTCTTGGCATCAGCAGTGTGATGGTGCAGGATATGAGTGGAAAGAGGTATGTCGTCCAGACTTTTCCTTCCAGGCGCTTTCGGATGCACTGACACATTGGCCCAGGATCAACAACTACAAGTTCGACATGGACACCATGACCTCTTTCGAGGGTGACACCGGACCGTACCTCCAGTACGCCCACGCTCGCCTGTGCTCCATCTTCCGCAAGGCTGGAGTCGCCGAGGAGGAGATTGCAAAGGCCGATCTTGGCTTGCTGACGGAGAAGCATGCTATTGAGCTGATCCGCGTCATTAGCCAGTACCCCGACGTTGTGCAGAACACTCTCAAGACCTTGGAGCCCACTACTGTGCTTACGTATCTGTTCCGCCTCACGCACGTCGTCAGCAGCAGTTACGATGTGTTGCGTATTGTTGGAAGCGAAGCTGAGCTCCAGAAGGCCCGCTTGGCGCTGTACATGGCCGCCAGGACCGTGCTCTTCAACGGCATGCGTCTCTTGGGACTGTCCCCTGTCGAGAGGTGAGTTCTTCTTCATACGCTGTCGCAGGATGCCGTCTGGCATGTGAAACTGGATGCTGACCACCCCACCAGAATGTAAGCTGGCATCATGACGGAATCATGACTGTGAGAGACGAGAGTGGAAGGAAAAAGTGGTCGTATCAAGATGACTTGAACAACCAAACGGCAGTGGAGGATTATGAGCAGAGTGACCTACGGCCACAAGAGTGTTCGTACCAATGACGAACACGGGCATAGGAGCTACTACTGCGTAACAGGCCGGCAAAACGGCTACTAGCCATCAGCCACAATGTGGTGCCATTTCATGATGGCCGACGACGCGAACCGGTGTGGCGTCGCACAAAATCGAGACGTTTTCGATCAAAGAAGCCATCGACCGTTTCGGTGTACTACAAGTCCCCGTGGCCGTCTGTGGCCGTCGTCGTTATCGTCGGACACACAGCATGAGCCACACAGGATTCGCGTGCACCAGCCCATTAGTGCTGAGTAATTGAAGAGACAATTTTTTTTTTACCATTTACTACCCCGGACTGAAGGCGAAGGAGTCATACAATCTGCAGTGAAGTTTGATGTGCAGGTGGCGGCGGCAATTCAACCCAGTAGGGCTGGTGTCTCTGCAGAAGCAGAAGCAGAAGCAGAAGCGACAACAGAAGCAGCAGCAGCAGCAGCAGCAGCAGCAGCCTGGATCGAGGCCAAGCAAAGCACAGCATATGTCGAGAGGTCGCGACGAGAGTGTTTCGTAAGAAGCAGGAAATTGACCCGCCTACACTCAGGTGAGAAAAGTCTGACCCATGATGACTGTCAAAGCAGAACTCTGCAGCGCGAGCTGTGAGCCACAGTGCCACGACACTCCCAATCGGTGGCCTCCCCCTGGCGCTCTCCCTTCAAGGAATCAAGAGGCGTTCGACTTGTCTAAGGTACCAACATGTGGCTTTTGTCTGACGCTCGGTGACTGGCGTGGGGGAGTTCCATTCCTGGGCGCCAACCAAGTGATCTTCCCGCTCGGATCCCGCTAGGGCGTACTAATCCCTGCCAACACCGAATCTTGCATATGCTCGAAACACTAGAGTTGCGATGGCTCTCGACGGCTCTGACTGGCTCTGGCTGGTTCTTACTGGCTGTCGCTGGCTCTCACTCGATCTGCGGATGACTGTTGGCTACCAATTTCCGACCGCATAGCTTCCGCGACGCCGTGGCTTGCAGTTGATCGACGTCCACAATCTACACATTGAGAGTCGATGACTCTGTGAAGTCTCTCTGCCGACGTCTTCTGGTCAAGTGCCGAAGGAAACCCAAGAAAAATATTCATGATTTATGCTTACCTTGGGTTGCGCGTTGTGAGTTGTCTAAATGTCCAAGGCCGAGACTGACGTTTGCCCAGGCTCCGGAACACAATAGCAACGGTGCATCCGGCGTGGGGCACCATGCGGATCGGCCTCAGCATCATGGCGGCATGCAAAGACCTCGTCCTGATCCCTTCCAAGCTTCCGCTCAGAACAGAGCAGAATAGCGCGCAAGCGAAGGAAGCGAAAACGTCGTGGAGCGGGCCAACGGGTGTGCCTGGCCTAGCCCTAGAATGGTTCGAGAGAATTGTGACAGCAGCTCCTTCTGACAATTTTAGGCAATCGAGCAGTGGGATTTATTCTGCTCGTATGCTACCTATCCTTGGTTTTAGCTGCAAAGCTAGCGTACTGCCCGGTGAAGTGGCTCGGTGTCTGTGCCGAGACCGGACGGGCCCTGACCTCCCGTAGCCCACCGCAACAGCTCTACCTGACGCCGGTGCCTAGGTGACTGGTTCAGACGCCCAGTCGACGAGGACAGAGTGGGACGAGGATGATCCTGTTCCCCTCCGCGGGCACTACGGACTTGGACATGGAACAGCTTGGTAGTCACGGTAGCGTGTTTACTCCTTGCTGCGGTGAGATATCGACTCGGCCAATCTTCTGGCCCCTGTGTTTGGAGCTCTCGCGGATGCAACGCGCATCCCACAGTCACCTCATATTCTAACCGTCTCCTTGGGACCTAAGCAGCCATGGTCAACCCTGCTGCAGTCCACGAGCCTGCATACCCTCCCACGCAAGATGCAAGGACGGGCATCGGTATTTGCTAGCACTCCGTGAGCTCCAGTTGGGGAGCTCTCGGGGATCTGCCTTTGCCTCTCCCTCGTCTCTTGAGGCGAGCCGAGTGTCTGATCTCTGATGTACCTCTCAGGAAGCTCAGTGCCCAGATGTCAGAACTCAACGAACCACTTGTCTGGGAAGGGAAGGGAGGGGAGCCAAGCGAGCAAGCACTACCACCACCAGTACCAGCAAGCAAGCACAACGGCGGCGGCCGACATGCAAGCGCGGCACAAGTATCTTGTGCTATGTTGGGAAGGGGTATACACCATCACCGGGGTCCAAGACTCTGGGCGTCCGTTGTTGGACCATGGATGGCGGAATGGACGGCGAAGTGGACTGACAAGTTTGCCGCCGCCCGCTGTGCGCCGATCCATGATAGTCGCAACAGGGTGGCATTGGACTTTGCCATGGCGCTTGGGGAATCCGGCGAGTGTCCATACACGCGTGGTTCAGTCATGTTTCCAGACAAAGGGACCGTTGGCCGTTCCCCGTCGGTCCGCTTGGGCGTTCCATGACCGGATGGCTGAACGTGGTCCTCACTCTTCTTAATAACAGCCGAGAGACACACCGTCCTCGAGACCCGTCATCGTGGTTCTTGTCGTTTCTGCTTTCCTGCATCCGCAGGACTTATTCTTCACTCTCTTTTGTTTCTCACCCCTAATCGACCTTGACGTCGGTTCCCCTTTTCCCCTTCTTCATACTACCGTAGTCAACACTTAGTTGTATTCTCTAATATCACTTGGCCTTATCACGATGGCCGTAGGCGTGGCAATCCTCGGCTTTATCCTCTTCTGCGCATGGCGCCTTTACTCCGCCATCCAGTTGAAGAAGAGGATTCCAGCGGGAGCAAAGCCTCTTCCTGGACCAAAGGGTAAGCTTACATGACATGCCAACGATGGCATACAGACACTGACTTCAGCACAGGTCTGCCCTTTATTGGTCGCGTTCACGATGTTCCGGCAGAGGCGGCATGGATGAAGTTCCATGAATGGGGCAAGCAATATGGCCCGATCTACGGGCAAGAGATGTTCGGTTCCTACCACGTCTGGATCTCCTCTGAGCAAGTTGCTCACGACCTCCTCGGTCGCCGCAACGTCATCTACTCTGACCGGCCCATGATCCCTAACCTTCCGGATAACCGCACAAGCGGCGACTACCTTGCCCTCCTTGGCCGGACAGGTGTGTATTTTACTTACCTCTCACCTGAATATACTCACTAACAAGCCGGTCAGAAACATGGAAGCGCCAGCGCAAGCTTTGCCACCACCTCATGAACCAGAGCGACAAGCAGGAGCTCCACGCATACCCGAGCCGCGAGCGCGATCGTTTCCTGTGGCTTCTCTACCAGAAGCCTGCCGAATACCGCGAGTACATCGAGCAGTTCACTAGCCGTACCGTCAGTCGCCTTTCTTGGGGTACCGCCCACCCGGCCAGAGTTCTGCGCAAGACCACCTTTGGCCTTCTCGAGACCATCTCCCCTGCCGGTGCTCTTCCTAATGTCATCTCCTTCCTCATGCACGTTCCCTCAGCGCTGTCGCCGTGGAAGAAGAAGGAGGCGGAGCGCCACGACATCGAGTCGAAGCAATTCACAAGCAACGTCAACTTTGTCAAGGATCAGGTTGAGAAGGGTACCGCCGCGCCGAGCTTCATCAGCACTTTCATCAACGAGGGTCTTGGAAACGAGAAGGGCAAATGGGGCGACCTTGCGGAGGCCCAAAACGTTGTTGGTCTCATGGCCATTGCTGGCGCCTTGACCATCGGTAGCCCCATCCAGAGTTTCCTCCTCGCCATGCTGCACTACCCCGAGTGGCAGGCTCGCTTGCAACGGGAGATCGATGAGAACTGCGAAGGCAGATGCCCTCAATGGTCGGATCGTGAGAAGTTGCCTTTGTTGAGAGCTGTCGTCAAGGAAGTCATTCGGTGGAGACCCCCGGTCCCTACTGGTAAGTTGTGTGCCATCGTAGTGGAAGTTTGTTTTTGAGTTCAGCGCGACTGACGTGACGTGCAGGCATTCCCCACGCTGTCGAAAAGGATGATGTATACAACGGCTACTTTATCCCTGCTGGTGCCACGATTCATGCTCTTGAATGGTTAGTAGCTTGACACTATGACCATGTCTTTGTTCCATCACTAACGCAGCCTAGGGGCATCACTCGCGACGAGTCCGTCTACCCCGATGCTGAGACCTTCAACCCCGGACGCTGGGTGCAGCCTGAGTACCCTACCTACAAGGAGCCTCTGACTAGATTCCCCAACCTCGATGGCTTCAGTCAATTCGGTTTCGGACGCAGGACGTGCCAGGGTGTCCCCATTGTCGACCAGGATCTCTTCCTGTCCATGGGAGGCATGGCCTGGGCTTTCAACATTCGCAAGAAGTTCAACGCCGACGGCACTGAGGTACCCGTGCACTGGAACGACTACACCCCTCTCTTGATTGCCAAGCCCGCCTTCTTCGACTTTGACGTTGTCGCGCGCACGCCCGAAAAGGCCGACCTGATGAAGGCTATGTTCGACGCCGCCAAAGAGGAGGAGGAGAATGAGGAGCTGATGATGAAGATGGGCATGCCTGATATCGACACCCGCGAGAAGAAGAGGGCTGCCATGTCTGTGAAGCCGCCTTCCGTCACGTTGAATCTCCGCCAGAGGAAGGAAGATGGCGAGCGCGAGAAGCAGTACCGCGAACACGAGCGCGACATCCCCGGATGCCCTGGCCGATGGGCGACGGAGAGCGACGTGGATTCAGGTAACGAGAAGGGATACGTTGATGGAGAGGACAGCGCCAGCGCCAGCTGTTCTGGACGCTCGTCGCCGACGATGCTGTCATAGGATTACTGGTGCTGTGGGCGTGGAGGTGATGAGAGGCTAATGAGGATGGATGGCAAGAATGTATGATGATATGGATAAGATACCGGTGAGATCATGGACGGCGCTGATGGATCATTCGGATTGATATCAGGGATTTCCTTTGTTATGGGCTTATTTTTCAAACGGAAAGATGCCGATGCTATTGAAGGAGCTGGTCATCAGGGGGTCTAGAATGTGACACGGACTGGATATACCTTCTACGATGTATGAATATAGAAATTTACACTTATACCACAATCATAAAAATAACGAATCCAAAACAGTCTCGAACTTCTTGGGCGCCTAGCGCTTAGTGTGAATAAGTACGCGGTAGACTGGTTTTAGCAGAAACATCGTCGCCCCCCCGCAATTACTGTCCACCATGTACCTCAGGTGGATCGCGATAGCATCACAAAAACCAAAAAACATACAACACCAGGTATTCGCTGGTCGTCACCGACCCAACTACTAATCCAGCCCTCATTGGCTTATCTATGGGAGAGCGGACGGGATCCCGAGTTTTCCAATGGGTATGGTCGTATGTGGCGGTTGAAGGTCGCGATGATGCTGATATCCGGGATCGTAGACAAACATCGCGGTGCTCTCTTTCACCGCAACACAAACCCAACAAACCTGAGGGAAAATCCTCACAAGAACATTACCGGCGTCTAGCGCTTCTCGAAACGGTGGCAAGAAATACAAACGGAACAGTAGTGGAGCCCGTGGTCCCGTTAAGATCAGATCGTGACAGATACCCGTCCGTTCCAAGTATCGGCGACCTGCCGCTAGGTATGTGTCACAGACTCACGCTCCCTTCAAGATGACTAAGCGGCCAACGGCTTCTAGTGGATGGGAATTTGAATTACTGTGACTCTTGAGGTGAAGGCAAAGGGCTGGCTGAAGCTTAGCTGAGCTGAGCTGGAGCTTGAAGCTGAGGAGCGCTGGAGCTCCCAAAGGGGGGCAGGGGGGCGAATTGCAAAGCTCCCAGACATGCCAAGCCCTACGCACAGGATTCACGTTCCGACGACGGCCACAGCCATAGCTGTTTTTTCTGTTCTTAAAGCGATAGACGAATGAGGATTTGAGTACGTTTCGTCCTGGAAATGATGCGATTCGTCAGAGTCTGGGATGGACCTCGAAAGGAGGTAGGTTCTGGACCTTTGACGCGCCGAACGGCGAACGGGTGGTGGCCCAAGGGGTGTGAGATGTGTCAGAGGAGAGACGAGAGCCCGAGATCCATGACGGCCTGAAGGGGTTTGAAAGTTGCGATGGGACGATCTGAGATTCAGACTCCTTTCAAACCCGTGGGGGGGAAAACGCTAGTCCGAAGTAAGAAGTAGCAGCTATCGCCAAAGCTGGGAATGGGGGAGAGACGGGATGAACTCTGAGCTAATCGGGAATCGTAGCGGACCCGAGGCCTTCCGTATTTCATGATAATTTGATATTGTCGCCGGCGCTGATTCGCTGCTCATTTGTTTTTGCGATCTCGGGGTGATCCCTTCTTTTTTGAGTTGCATATTAGACATTGTCAAGTCGCCGAGGGGATCTGGTTCCGCCCCGAGCTCACACGATTAAGCTTAGAAGCTTTTTCTTTTGTCCTAGAGACTTGTCTTTGGACGAGATAAAGCTTTCTATGTTTGTATTCCATCATGGTCAACGTTTGTTTCAAGGGCCGCAAACAGGATGCCCCCATCATTCTCAATGGTTCGTTCGTTCGTTTGAGAAGCTAAAGTGGTGGGTTGAACTGAACAGCCTCATGTACAAATGACTCTGATACTAGTCCATAACTCTGTTTACTTTCCATCGGGTCCGTTAAGCTTCATTTTCGTCCTTCTCTTATCTCGAACGGACGGTTGCGGTTTCCGCTTCGCTAAACTAGACCCCCGCTGAATCGTCAAAGGTTGAATGAAGATTGGGCCTCTTGACTCTTACCCTTTTGACGGACTTTTGGAAACTCCGGATCGGGCTTTCTGATAGACTCATAGGAGCCGTAGGTAACACAACCCGTATTCCGTCCAAAGACGGCTGATACTCTGCGGAGCTGAGATCGGGAATCGTGTGGCTGCTGTCAAGTGATGATCGGACTACCCTAAGGCGCTCCAAGAGGAACTTACCGGGCAGGCTATAATTGCTCGGACTACTGAGAAACGTCGTTCCGAGTTCTCCCGGCTCTGTGACTCAGGATGGTTCAGCTATTGACCACTGCTTTCAGCATGATGTGTGTTATGCATACAATCCTTGATGTGTCTGCGGCTCTAATAGAATGCGTTGTGGCCCAATATTTGACATGTAAGAAGCTTCCTTCACGGGAACATCTCTGCGATCTTTGCCAGGTCTATAAGCAACACTGTCACTGGATCAAGCTTCGAGGAAGGGGGGGGGGGTGGGGTCCGAAAGGGTCCGAAAGAAAGTATGCTTGTAATCCAAATTAAGGGAAGTTTTCATAGTTCACTTACGGAGCTTTCGGAAGTTGGAGTTATGTGGGCTGGTAAGATGCAGCAAAGACCAGCAGATGCATATGTGAACAGAAGCCCGACCGTGTTTTAGCTTTCCCCACAGGCACGACATACCAGGTCATCAATTCAAATACCGAGGATTGGCGATACACTTACCTTGGAAGGCGCACCAGCAACTAGGTGTCCAACGCCTACGAGCAGACTGCACAGCTTTAGGCCAAGCTGTGGCAGGTCTAAGCCAACGAAGCCTTTTTTTCCCTTTTTTTTTTGAAGCGATTTGGAGTATCATTTATAGCAATCTCGGTGTAATAATATTGTATAGGCATGAATTGATCTCGTAGTCTGCAAGAAGATGTTGCTCCTCGATGCACAAATAAAGCAATGGACTACCGTGACCACTCAAAGTGTTAGACCAAGGTCAAGGAGTCTTTTGTTTGTATTTAGACGGGTTCCAACTGCCTACTCGACATAATGCTCTCTAGTCCCCTCCTCTGCAGCTCTCAAGCAATCACTCATCGCAGAGTTGTCTCTGGGGATAAGCTTCACCTTGAAGTCCTTAGGGATCGCCACCAAAGCCGTCTTGAACTGGTTATACTCGACATAGTCCGTATTCGGGGGTTCGTCTTCGCTAGCAACAATCTTGTACGAAGATATCAGTCGCACCAAGGCCGCGTATAGTAGACGCTGGGCGATGTACTGCCCGGAGCAGCCGCGGGAACCGAGTCCAAAGCTGAGGTGACCAACGCCTGAGACCTCCTTTTCTGTAGGGGGATCAAGAGTTTCAAGCCACCGCTCGGGATCGAAGTGGCCAGCATCATCGCCAAAATGTCCGACATCTTGCACAACGTTAGAGAGACCTTAGAAACTTCAGTTACTTGGGCAAAGAATGAACACACCATGATTTCCGGCTTGTGCGTTGACCAAGATCATTGTCTTGGGGGGTATGATAGCTCCGTCCCAGTTTACTTCCGTCACAGTCTTTCTGGGAAGACTCATGGAACTGACTGTGTAATACCTCCCAGCTTCCCTGATGATGGCGTTGATGTAGGGAATCTTCTCTTCTACATAGCAAGAAGCCCACGCTTCGCGCACATCTGGGTAGTAGCGCTTGATATCTTCGTAAGCCCTGTCCTGCCAAGCTTGCCCCTCCTTCGTGGCAAGGGATGCGATGGTCGAGGTGAGAGTCCCTGGTATCGTCTCGAATCCCCCGGATACAAGTGACAGGCAAATAGACGAGACTTCGACTCCGCTTAGCTTGGTCTCCTCGTTCTTCAAGATCGCCGCTGAGATGCAGGGCTTATCGGTGCCGCGCTTGATCTGCTCTCGAACTTTCTCCAGAAGCAGGTTCAAGTACGCGTCACGGCGTTCCCTGAGGTCCTTGGAGCGACGGCTCTTCTCGTTATTTGGGAAGTACCGCATGATGGGGACGTAGTCTTGCGTGTTCTCGGAAGCACTACGCAAGAGCGAGATTGCCGAACCGACGTGCAGAATCTCGCGTAGGAGATCATCGTAAACGGCGTCCATTCGAATGCCGTAGCAGAGCGTCAGCGTGGTGTTCAACGCATACCGCTGGATATAGGGTCGTACGCTAATCTCCACCTCACCATTGCGACTATCCTTGTGAAGGTCTCGGAGGATGCAATAGCTCTCGAGGTCAAATATTGGACAATAACTTCGGAGGGCTGGTCTTCCGAGCGCCGTGCCTGCAGCCTTGCGTTTTCGTCGGCATGAGTCGTCCCAGGGCGACGATCCGATGGTGAAGCCCTGCGTGCTGCTGACGAGACCGTGAAAGGTATACAGTTTCGGCCGGTCAATGACCGCATTCTGGTGGCCTATGAGGAGACGCCGGATGTCTTCATAGGAGTTGAAAACCACGGCTCTCGTGTTTCCCAACTTGATTTGGAAAGTGGATGGATTCCCTTTCCGCCACCAATTCTCGCAAGTGCTCGCGTGGTCTTCGCCGAGCTTTAGAAGATGTCCAAAGACTGGGACCGCGCCAGGCATTTGCGGAAGCCCCTTGATATAGGGAATATCAGTGCCGAAGGCAACCTGTACAGTTAGTATTCGCATCATAGAGCTGGGCGGCTAGTCGGTGACTCTGAAGTAGCTCACATTGTAGGCGACATAGGAGGCCAATAACGCTAGAGTTGTCGCGAGGATAGGTACGAGAGAGCGACAGTCTTGAGCAACCCATATGTGCCCAAATGACTGGGATGATCCCGTTGAATTGAGTGAAGTTGACATTATGAGTTGGTCCCACCTAAGGTAGCTCCTCATCGAACATTAAAAAACAATAGGTGTGCTGTAGCTGCGGCAAGGGGTCAAAAGCACACTGACAACGGCGTGTATACAACCCTAATATAAGGGAATATGAGGAGATCGGCCAAGTTCTCACGGGTTGCCCTCAATCATCATCTTCCCCTCAGTTCGGCCATGTCGGTTGGAGATTGAATAGTGATGTAGCAACTAATCATCGGACGACCCGACCCCTCCAGCTGGAGGCTTATCATCCGTGTCGGACAGACCGACGACCATCGACTAATGGCACCACTGGCAATATAGACATCTTTTGTATAGAAAGTATTGGCTGAAAAACATTACAACAATAGCAGTAACCGATTTCATAACTCACTGGCTCACTCCTCGTTGACTTCCATCATTTCTTTGTACCTGCTAGATATCTGTTCAATCATCCGACATATCTTGCCAGCCACAGGGAACTTGACGCTAAGCTTATCAAATAGCTCGATAGTCAAGTCAAGGTCCGCTACTGCTCTCTTGTCTCTCAAAACAGAGGTGAGATTATCAGGTTGGACAGTTGTAGCGTATATGAGGGACAAAGTTGCGGTAAATATCGAGAGAAGGTTGAGCCAATTGTAGGCAAGACACTTTTGTCGGTGCATATTAGATACTTGACGAATCGACATGGAGGCAGCCTCCGCTAGTACTTTGAGACGGGGTTCTGTCAGAGTCGGGAACAGCGGAGATGGTCGATACAACATGGCAACGTGGAGATAATAGTTGAAGTCATACCAGCTGCTGGTGAGGTGCGGTACTGCAGCGTCGGTGTTTGGAAGAGGAAATGGCATATTGCGACGCCAGTGAAGAAGTCTCTGATGAAGGGAGTTTGATACTTCTTCGCGCTGTTCGGCATTTAGGCTGGCTGACTTTCGGTGCGAATAGACTGAAGCCGTGATGTTGCTGGCAATCTGCCGCAGCTCGAGGATGTGACGAGGAACGGCCATCATAGAAGGCTTGAATGAATTCTCGGGCAGATCAACTTGTGCCCCAACGCCACTATCATTCTCCACTGCGAAGGGCTTCAAATTTGAGTCAGTCGTTGAGTGCAGTGTTGAACGACGAGAGTCCCGAGAGAATGCCAATCTTACCGTCACATCAATGTCATCTTCATTGATGGCGAATGGGCGACCTAGAGCTATAGAAACTACGCTGTTGGATAGGATCAGTATGCCAGGCCTTGCGGCATTGTGGATCTCGAGGGCTCACCGATCCATCATGTAAACGGAAAAGAAGATTCTCTTCCGCTTTTCAGACACGTCGACTGGTAGGCCTTCATAGGTTGAGGAAGCATGCATGCCCAATCCAATTGCCATACGCGCACCGAGACCAACCAAAGTCCATGTATCTATTATCGCAAAATTGAGTGAGAGACTTGAGCCAAGTCACACAGCATCACTTACTGGGTCCAAGCTGGTTAAAGAAAGAATAAGACACTTGGAGAAGTATAACTTCCAACGCGGCCTTCAGTCACAAGTCAGCCTTCACCTTCCCCATAAACTCACCCACGCGGAGATTCGTACCATGTATCCATAATCGAGAGCACCCTCGAAGTGCTCAAGAGCTTTGTTGTAATACATCATCGATTCGGACTCATCTGAAAGGGTGACTGAGCATTGCGCTGTCGATCCAATGGCAAGGACCATCCACAGGCGGAACTGACACAAAGAAGATTGTGCTAAAGCACACTGAGGATCCGCTCGCCGCACATGCTCTAGTATCTTATTGAACTCTTCACGGTGAATAATTGGGTATAACGTGTGCGAGTGAGCAAAGTAGAAACGTATGAGCTGGTCAACTTGACTGCCTTCAAGGGAGACCTGTTGCTCTGAGGGGGAGATGGGTTCGATTGGCGCGGTCGGGGAGAAGCCGTCAAGCATCGAAGGGTAGCACATGAAAGGATCTCTGAATCCACTGAACAACGTTGAATCCAAGAGATTTGAAGTCGAGGACGGAAGGTTAAACTGCGGCCACATACCATCCTCAGTTCCAAAATTGGTGAAGCTAAAGTCGGCCTTGTCGGGGTTCAGACGCCGGAGGACGGTTTGTGTCAACTTGGCGAAAGAGAGGCCGGAGGAAGATCCAAGATGACGGTCAGCCGTTGCTTCGAAGGAGAGAATTTTGAGCTCTTCGACGAAGGAAGGTGAGGACTGCAAGAGAGGCAGCTGGATAGACGAGGGCTCATGGAGCATGTCCGTGCTGTTTGTATCAGTCTCTTGATTACCGAAGGTAATCTCGATATCATTTGGATCCAGGTTTATGAGTTGCGCTTGAGAGTCTAGCTCCCTTCCTGTCGCGGGTCGTAGTGAATCGAAATCCTTTTCGAGAGACTTCACTTTTGCCTCGAGACTGCGAACGTATCTATTAAATGTGTCCTGTTCAGCGACTGTCAAGGTGTTTCTACAAGATTACAAAGTCTCATCACCTACTTGACGGGGTAAGATGCCATAACACGATCATCATCGAGGAAGCTGCACGACACTTGAGCCCCGCTACAATTCCTGCATTGGGGCAACCCGCGATCACATCTTTTCTTTCGTCGGTGACATCGCTTGCACGACGTTTTAGCTTGAGCGACCGCAAATTCTGGCGCCATGTCTGATGACTGTGACCATGTCGGGATGTAAGTGACAAGACGGTCGGATCTCCCGACGGCAGTTGGCATGTCATGGTATTACCCCGCCCTCGTCTGATAACGGAAGAGGTGGCATGTCGGCCGGACCGACGATCATCAACACAAACCGATAAGCGATCCGCCGTTCATTGAGGCGAGGTTGGAAATTGAACAGCATTAGGGAAACCTCAGAAGTCGATCGAAAACTTCGTTCGAGGATTCTAGTGATGGCTTCACTCGACATTACGCAACTCTTTTCGGTCAAGGGCTATGTGGCGGTGGTGACGGGGGGCAGTAGTGGGCTAGGCCTCATGATAGCAAAGGTATGTGGCCCGACATCTCACTATATCAGTTTAAGGCCGAGAGACAATGAGCCTTTGTAACGACGGAAATTCTCATTTAAAAATTACCAGGGACTCGTAACGAATGGTGCCAAGGTGTACGTGGCTGCTTTACCAACTGACCCCATCGATGAAGCGGTCAAAGAGCTCAACGAGTTGGGCAAGTCTTCTGGAGGAAATGCGACAGGGTATTACACAGAATCGAGCTCATGAGAACGCATCTCTGACATTTGCAGTGTGCCTTGCGACTTGTCATCGCATGATGATATTATGAAGCTCGTAAAATATGTTCAAGAACGCGAACATAGCCTTGACTTGTTAGTGTCAAACGCTGGTATTCGACGCGATCCACTATATCTGTGCAACCTCGAGACTGATGACATCCTCGAATTGCAAGCTTCGATGCAATCTTCGAGGCCATCTGACTGGAAAGATACCTTTTCTATCAATGTCGCAGCGCACTATTACCTGGCTGTCGCGTTCCTTCCCTTACTGCATTCTGCAGCTTGCCATGGCGGTGACGACGGCCCCGGTAGTCGTCAAGGACGCGGCGCCGTGATAATCACGAGCTCATGTGCCAGTATGCACAATGTTACGAATGTTGATCTGACGAGCTACGCGGCAAGTAAAGCTGCTACGGATCACCTAGTGAAGCTTCTGGCCGCCAAGTTCAGAAATTTCTATATCCGAGTCGTGGGGCTGAATCCTGGATGTGAGTAACACCAAAGCCATTGGTTGACTAGGTTACTGATCATATCAAATTCCCCTAGTCTTCCCAAGTCGTATGAATCCTGTTGGAGAAGAAGGCAATGTATTTAGTGCCTTGTTCGACAAGGTTCCTGCCAAAAGAGCTGGCCGAGAAGAAGACATCGCCGGTGCGGTGATCTATCTTGCTAGCCGAGCCGGGGTAAGTCTCAAGTCTTCTCGTTCCGACATTCATGATCCAGGCTTTGACCCTAGTTGCGATCTTTGAGTTGATTAGTAAACTGACCTGTGAAATAAGTCGTACGTTGACGGCATAAACTTATGCATTGACGGCGGCCGCATCCTCGTGGCGAATGGGCAGGAATGAAGGCGCAATCATGATGGGTGCATGGTCAATCGTATGATAGATAGGATTAAATTATTCGGTCGTTCATTACTATATACATGTATACTTCACAGAATTGCGCCCCCATCAAACGCAGCCTTAGCAGAAGCATTGACCGTTGCAGCCCTCGCCTCATACGTCTGTCTCTGCTCTTTAGGTAGGGTTTCCCACCTCCTCAACACTTCCTGCCATTCAAATTCTTGCTCATCGCGAAATTTGCCCAGCCCTGTGATAATCCCCGGCCGCGCGGGCACGCCAGCAAGCCTCTCTCCACGACTCATAAGCCCTGATAAGCGACTCGATGAATGCTGCCCCTGTTCTGGCAAGGGAAGCACAGAAGGTGCCGGTCTTTCGGCTAGAGTTGTCTCATGCTGGGCCCAGGCCTCTCGGCGCAGAGTCTCTGACCGGGCACGGTAAACTGCCCTTTGTTCTTCAGGTACTGCGGACCACCCGGGCTCAACATCGTACCCTAAGATACCCGCTTCGGCAGCGAACATGGTGACTGGGGTGCACAGCGTAGATGTAGCTGGCCATGGCCCGGATCCAAAGCGATCAGCGGGTATGGGAAGAGTTCTCGCGGGCCATGGCGACGGGGAGCTGATAGTAGAGAACACAGATGGAACCTCTGAAGATGCTCGGAGAGTAGCGAGGTATTCGCTATTCCGAGCGGCCACCTCTTCGTCCGTAAGGCTGCCAAGCCGATGCTGCTCATGGAGAGCTGCCATGGCATTGATGATGTCACCAGGCTGTTGAGTCAGCCCTGATTGACTCTGCGGCGCGTAGAGTGCCGGTCCTGGCACGGGAGAGGCTCGCACCGAACCATGGCTAGGAGCCGCCGTTGTCATCCGTCGCGTTGTTGGGAAGTGGCCCACTTGACGCATCAAGGCAGCATGAAAGACGGCGAACTCCAGTCCCAATCTGCCGAACAGCAGCTCTGCGGCCTGCGCGACCCCAGGCTGGCCCAAAACTTGCGATATGGCCACCTTGAAAAAGTTCGCATCGTCTCTGGCGTGGAAGTGGCGCGCCAGCAATGAAACCTCGTCGTCGTTTAGCATTGTGCTGAACTGGCCGCAATCTAGCGCAATCTAGCGCAATCTTTCCCTTGGCATAAAGTTCCTTGGGCGCGCTGAGCTGCCCACCCGTGGCGCGTTGGATGTTGGCACGCGCCACATCTGGCGACGGCCAGAGGAGTGCCTGGTGCATCTCATCTATCGAGAGGGAGTCGGGACGAGCGAGTGCCTTGCCCACGACGTCGCCGCGGCTGAGGAGAAGCTGCCGCTCGTCGGCTGTGAGGCGCTCTTGTTGGTTCTGAGCTTTAGTGTAGAGAGCCTTGGGATACCCTCGTGGGCTGATTGCGCCTCTCGTTGAGAGATGGAGCGGTCAATAGTCCCGAGTAAAGCTGCGTCGGCGCGCGTCATGGCCTCAGCGCCTTCCTCCGTGTCAAGATCTCCATTGACATCGGGCCAGTCCTCCTCCCTGGTTCCAAAACTTCCAAAGTTAGAATCAAGGTTTTGTGCCCCCGTCATCTCGGATGGGAGTATTAACTGTTATCTTTGAGTGGTAAAATTACCTCAAGCAGGGACGCAGAGATAGAATCCCGTCATCCAACAACGACTTACTTACACATGCCCGGGCAATTGTCCAATTTAAGCAAAAAAATCCGCTCTGACGCAACTCTTTTCGTCCCATTGCAGGCAGCAGTGATTATGCAATGTCTTGAATGAAGATATAGATGGAATGAGAATGCTACACATCGACATAAAACCGGTTTTGAGAGATGTAGTCTAATAACATTTTATTTGAATAATCCTCAGTCGTTTTTCTGCCCACGGGATATCTATTTCTTTTATCCTAAACACCGATGATACAACGGACGGACATGTCAACACGACTCTATCCAAAAAGCTTGTCTAGAACTTTCTCAAAGACGTTCCTGGTTGTGCCCGTTAGAACCACTTGTTGATTATCGGATAAAATTGTCAACTTACTTGGCAGGAGTAGGCACGAACGTCCTCTCATACTCGTCAATTTCATCCTTGTTGCGGTACAGGTCGACCTCTTCAGGTTTGAAGATCTTGGTCTTCTTGAGGAACTTCCAGCCCAGGTACAGCACTGGGAAAATACCAACCATCGTGTACCTGGCGTTTGTCAGTATGCCATTCAGGCCAGCTTGAGACGGTGAATGGCTTACGAGAAGAGGAAGTCAGGGATGCTCCAGTATCCATCCAAAGGCAGGAAAACGGTGTAACCTCCAACGAACGTCATGATAAAGGTACCGATGAGACCATACCAGGCAGCGTACGGCTGGAACCAAGCCTTGTAGGGAAGGGTATCGCGACTGATGCCTTGGGCCTTGAGCGCACGATAGAACCCAAGATACGCCGTACACATGCAAGAGAAGTTGATAAGCTGCGAGGCGGTGACTAAGCTCACAAACCAATTCAGCACAACAGCGGTGTTTGCACTGAGTTGCAGGAAGCTGAGCAGGCCGATGAGCAAGACGGCGATGACGCAGTAGACCGGAACACCCTTCTTTGTGCACTTCTTGAAAAACGCGGGCGCCTTGCCCTCAAGCGCAAGTCCGTACAGCGACCGTGAGGCGCAGTAGACGTACGAGTTGCCAGCAGAGAAGGCAGCCGTGAGGACCATGGCATTGACGATGTGTGGCAAGCCGCTGATCTTCAGACGATTCATGGCGACGACGTAAGGGGAGGCCGAGGCACCGGGTTCGCCGTCCTTGAAGGCGCGGGTGAGCTCTTCATCATTGTAGGGGACAAGGATGCCGACGCAAAGTGAGCCGAGGACGAAGAAGGCGGTCAGGCGGTAGAAGACGGCGTTGAAAGCGCGGGGCATGACTTTACGCGGGTTCTCGGCCTCGCCGGCGGCCATGGCGACGTAGTCGGGTCCTGCAATGGTGAAGGAGGCTTGGATCAGGCATTGCAGGAAGCCGAGGAAGCGTCCGAGGGAGCCGCTGTAGTAGAGTTCTGTGAATGCGCCTGGCTCATACCAGTATCTAGATGGATCCATTCGGTCAGATAAGAGGACGTGGCTGATGAGAGAAGGAAGAGACAATTGCCTACCGGAAGCCGAATCTGTCTCCAAGCGGGTTTCCTATAGCCATGTTAGTGTCTGATCTGTATACAGAGCGACAATGTACGTGAAGTAGCATACCTCCCAGCATGACGATGAACGTAAAGATGATGAGTCCCACGATGAGCAAGAACTTGCCAAGTGCAGCCCAGAACTCGGTCTCGCCGTACCACTGCACTGCCATGACATTGATAATACCATACAAGACGAGAATGATGGCAATGATGCCTCCAGCCGGTACCACGTCGCTCCAAAAGTGGATGATGAGGTTGCAGGCGACAACCTCAAAGGGGACGAGAGCGGCTTCAAAGACGAAAAAGTTCCAGCCGGCAGCGAAACCAAAGGCCTCATCGACGTAGCGACCGGCGAAGCGGATAAAGGGACTCGAAATTGGGAGGTAGGTGACCATCTCGGCCATGCTTAGAGTCACAGCCAGGATGAAGGTGCACCAGATAGTGAAGGCGAGAAACAAGCTAGCGGGGCCGCCGTTGAGCAGGCCTCTTCCGATTTGGACCTAGGATCGTGTGAGTAGCCGAAAGTAATATGTGATTTCCCATCGACGCAACGTACGTAAAGAGCGGTTCCTGCATGCAGTGTGAGCTGGGTTCACCTCTGAATGTTACATCTAAAGACATACCAATTGTTCCGCCAATGCCAATCAGTTGAATGTGGCGCGATTTGAGCTTGCGGTGAGTATGGTCTCCCTTGTCGCCAGAATCGAGGGAAGAGCGAAACCCGCCGTCTAGAGGCTCGCCATATGGCTCACCGACGCCCTTCTCATCGGGGAAACGGCCGTGTTCGGAGTAGCCGCCTCCATAGTTCGGAAGGCCGTCGCGGTGTCCCGCTCGCTCGATGCCGGTGGATGACATGTTCGGTCGATCGGGGCGAGGGGAAAGATGTGGGGGATCAGGCCCGGTTTAGTGGGGGATCTCGGCGCGGCCTCGTTTCGAGTCGACTTTGAGTCGGGAGAGTGATCGGAGAAGAGGGAGACTCTGCGGTCCGAGTGTGCGCTCGTGACGAGTCAAGCGAAGTTGGTGATCTTGGAATTGATTTGTAGCCTTGGAGAAGTTACGATTATGTGAACCTCAAATTACCAAAGGGCTTTCAGAAGAAGACAGAAGAATTGGACTTTGAATTCCATGAGGGTTTCACACTGCACACAAGCACTGGCTGATGTCTCGGGGTCCAATGTGGTTTTTGCTCTTCGCGTTGGAACAAGTACGTTAGGAAAAGCCGCACGTAGGAGAAGAGGAAGAAGAGCGAGAAGGGACCGAGAGAGCTGTCGCGACCAACACTGCGACCGCAGATCCTTTTCAAGAATTCCCAAAGATCAGGGACCGCAGCAATTACACTGCAGCGTCGCAGCGGACAGAGAGACGGGAACAGTGGGGTGAGACTGAGGGGTGAAGGACTGCAAGAGGGAGGTCTGCAAGAGAGTGGATGTCTCTGTGCGAACCATGCCCAACGCGGGATGGGCCCGGAGAGGTATGAGGGAGTAGTGAGGAGGCGGCGACCGGGGGATGGGGGAAGATGGGAGCGCTCCAGCTTGTTTCTTCCGGGGATCGTTCCCTCTCTTTTCCTACCCTCGGAGTTCATGCCAGACAGGTTATTGTATCTCCATTCAAGAGTTTGTGGCTGGTGTAGTGATCGGTAGTAATGGCAATACTCTGCTCTTGCACTGTATTTCTAGCCATGTCACATATCTTTCGGTATGGCTTCCCTAATTAGACTCTGCGTGAAATGTTTCCAAGTCCCGGCAAGTTGTCGGTCCCTGAAAGAGAATCTGCAGCGCGGGCAAAGACTGGCCAGAGCTTGAGAGTCAACAAGGTTCACCCACAAACATTGTACGAGAGGGGTACCTGGAGGAACGTATCTATCTGTACATGATGCTTGGTGACGCGGTAGAGAAGATAGGGAGCCTTATCAAACCCCTTCAAGTAGGTAGTTAAGAGTCTTCAGATACGCCGCGTGTTGTGCGACGGTCACATTGTCCGCGCCGTTGGTTGGTGCTATGATCTCCCACGCTGCTATCAAGCGTGGTCGCCTAAACATTTACAGGCGGGAGAAGCAGAATGAGAGATTCGCTGACGGAGTGCCCACCATGTTGGGTCAGGTGCAGGTGTCTGGTCCTCTGCAGGATGCACATCGCTGCCAGTGACATACCGATAGCTCTCGGTCGATCTGGACCAGGGCTTTCTTGAATGCCATTGACTGCTGACAGCAGTTCGAGACCATTCGTCGGCGCGTCCCAGCAGCTTGGCATCGGTGTGTCCGGTCCATGTTCCACCCCACGCGGCCCAGCAATGTGGCTTGCTTTGTGAAGGGAAGGGTAGTGAGGTAGTGCGACCTTTCGACGGGAAGAACGAGGCATTTTCATACCAAGTGAAGATGAGACTTTCGCTCGACGATTGGCTGCCCATTGCGTGCTTCGTGTGGGTGAAGGCGCCGTTCCAGCTGCCGTTCGCCGCATGGGTAGCAGGTCCGGTTTATTTGAACCACATACCTGGTCCTGGGCTCTGGTGAAATATGATTGAGCAATGTTGCGATGGACCCCTTGGGCCAAGGCAGAGCGAAGCTTTTGGGGATTGGCGACAAGCAATGAGGCTGCCCGGGGACAAGAACTGCTTCATCGCGGGATGGCTAGGCGCATTGGCGACTTGGCTTTTGGGGGCAAAGAAGCTTCATTTGCTGCTCACATCACGTCAAGCACCCCGCGGAAGATGGAAATGCCTGCTCTGTGATTGCGCAGGTGGCTGGCCAAGCTGTCTGCGCCTCTAGCAGCACCCAGGAAGAATCACATTCCCATTCCCCGATTGCGTTACCGTAAGTTTTTGATTGTGCCTCTTGGCATCTTGGCAGAAACATGAAGCCAATTGCTTCGCCAACTGCTATGCCAATTTGCCGTCGAGAGCCGGTCAGGATCCCTTGGCAGGCTAGAGTTCTACGTCACGCTATCAAGCAATGATAACTCGTCAACTGCTCTAGAGCGTCTCTCATTGGGCAGGCGAAAGATGGATGAGCCCATTGTTCACAGCGTCGACGGCATACCTACACAGTAGTGTCTCCATGTCCGCGCCGCCTTCAAAGTCTTGGCCTCCTTGAAGGTAACGTATCCACGAATTTGAGGTGGTCAAAGTGAGACTGATGGTATCATTGGTCCAAGTCCGAATGCTGAAATGGAAGCAAGCTACTGGTGACCCCGTGGGATTGAGTTTGGCGAGAAATTGGATTGAGGGCTTGTTGACTCGGGCTGTCTTCCTGTTCCTTCTGGGCCTCGGCCGGGTCGCGCTCACAACATCCACTCAGAACCTCGGAACAGAATCACAATTCGGTACCGTTCGTCAACATTCAACGGCTCGTTCAGTCATTGAGGTTCTATGGTACATGAATACTCCAGAAGCAGGTGTGGGCACATAGCGTCGCCTGGCGCAGGAACGCGCGCCGCGCCGCGAACCTTCAGGTTTTTGGCGGCGCCCCAGTGCCTAGATCTGCTGCATTCATTGCCCTTAAACCTAGTTGGAACTCCTCGCTAGAAGCTGCAGTTCCTCGGGGTAATTCCTCCTAGTTCCACCACCGGGACCCTCTCGAAATTTCGACATCCATTCTCACATGCTCTTAAGCCTTTTGATACAGAGTGAACACGGAGTACACGCTTCTGATTGTGCTTTTGCTTCCTTCTTGATACATGAACCTGTGGTCTTGTGCAGCGATACGGCATCCAGAGTTCTTAGACAGTTGACTATAACTAGCGCAACAACCCCGCTTGCCAGTGATTTTCTCAGGTGTTCGCAACTCCAGCAATCACCATCAGCAAACATTGAAACGGCAATGCCTAATGCACCAGACCTACAGTAAATCGGGTGATTATCCAAGTTTTCAAGACTCGACGAGCAATGTGTGTCTGGGGCAGCCTTGCGACGCGAAAGAAGGTTTCCAGCGCGATTGGCTCTTTGCTCTATAGCACGACTCTCGACCGCGGTCTTCAGGAATAAGCACCAATCACAATGGTCTATTAGTCTAGTTGGTTAGGACGTCGGATTCTGATTCTCAGAACCTTCCGTAGGCCCAGGTTCGAATCCTGGATGGACCTCATTTCCTTTTGCGTCGACGACAAAGTCTCGACAGGTTTCGATTTTGCCATTGCCAACTAGTCCTGTGTCCTCCTCGTCATATTGTCTAGTTTGAACATGTTCCGACAATATGTTCACCACCTGGCGACCTTCTCATCTGACCAGTACTCTCCCGTCTTGCGACCGATATCCGCAATCGCTAGTTGCACAGGTGTTTGCGCACCCTCATCGGGCGTCTTCGTGCCGCCGCCTCGCGTCATATCCGTGACAACGTACCCGGGATGGCACGAGTTGACGAGCAACTTGCTTCCCTTGTCCTGCAACTCCTTGGCGATGGCCTTGGTCATGCCAATCTCGCCAGCTTTAGAGACCGCGTACGCGGCGCTGGGCCAACCTTGCTTCTCGTGCGTGCCCTTCTCGACCGCGGCAGTGAAGTCCTCCATCAGGTTGGTGACGTCCGACACCGACTGCGCGTCAAGGAAGCGCTGCTTGATTTCTGGCGAGTACTTGTTTAGGGACCCTGATACCGATGCGACGTTGACGATGCGTCCATCTGGCTTCATGACCGGGATCCAGGCGCGCGTCGCTTCGAGTGTACCGTAGTAGTTGCATGCTAGGGTGTTCTTCACCACGTTCGAGTCTTGTGCGCGGAAAGTCAGCCTTTATGTTGAACCGACGCAGCACTCAAATTTCGCGCTTACCAAACCCTTGCATGGCAATACCAGCGTTGTTGATGATGAAGTCAACGCCATCGGGATGTTCCTTCTTCAGAAATGATGCGAGATTCGAGATGCTGGATGAATCTGAGATGTCAAGCTGGTGGTACTTGATGTCCGCCGCGCCACCATGGGTAGATAGGGCCTTGGCCTGCTTGAGATCCGCGTCGCCTTGAATCTTGCTGAGTGCTTGCTCACCGCGAGACTTGTCGCGCGCAGTTAGATAGATGAGCAGCGAGCCATTATTTAGGTGGGAGTTGGGGTATTGCAGCGCAAGTTGTCGGACTGGTGAGAGAGGAAGAAGTCAGTTGAAATGACGCGATTCTGAGGTGGGATGAGGTCCTACCAACTGCATATCCGATGCCCTTGTTGGCACCGGTAACCACACCAACTCGTGAGTATGTCATGGCGTTTCTCGTAAGGGAGACCTTTTGAACACAAATTTGGAAGATTCAAGGTCAAAAGAAGGGAAATGGGTCAGACAAGCTGATCATACTGGCACGAAGTGTTTACTGATCCATGACATCACTCAAGTCGGCATTCGACCGTACATTAGTCATCGCGTAGCGCACTGAAGTTCTGTCTTCTTCTAGGTTTCAGCCGGCGACACCACAGTCACCTACAGCATGTACAGACCCGCTGGGCCCGAATCCGAGGCCGAATACCTCGGCCGGGACACGGAGAAGTGGAGTGACGCCGGTTCCGCACCGTCCAACAACTGCGGGTGGGTGCGAGTACGATGTGCATCGCACCGCGGACGACCGCCATCTCGACCCCCCTTTCCACTTCACCGCCGACTCGATGAAGTACCTTGCGTCGAGTTATTGCGTCCAGGTTGGTGCCGCACCGTCGAGACGGAGGTTTTCGCCAGTCAAGACACCGAAATATGCACTCGGATGCGCAGGCTATTTCCGAGAGTAGCTATGATGTGCTTGATGCAGCATGAAAGGGTGCTTCGCGTGCAGCTTGCACTATCAAAGGAACACGCGATTGGCATGTTGGAGCACAGCATGCAGCGAGATAGAGAGCCCATCGTTCCGCCCAAGGGTGCAAGCCTCACTTTCCCTGCTGCCGTCGGCCTCCTGCAGCATGGGATGCTATGCAGAAGGCCATGTGCGGGGTTTGCTGTTCGAGCCTACATTCACCCCGGAGCGATTCGCTCGCGTGGATATTAGAGCGCTTTTGCTCTTGCGTTTTCTTCATTGCTTGGGGAGATTGTGACTTGCGTGTCCATCTTTTCATCCAAAACATCGTTTATATCTTTTTCACTCCTAACATTCGCAGCTTACTTGAGATGGCCGAAGTACTTGGGATAGTAGCTAGCGTCGCAGCGCTTATACAACTAGCTAAATATGGCGAAAAGTTCGCAAAGGTCTTGATCAGGTACTCCAAACAGAGTAGTTCTCCAGGAAAAGAAGTTGAGAGATGTGCCTTTCAAGCACAGGACTTCTCAGATTGCATCGATATGACTCAGTTCGCTCTCGAACGACATTTCGACAAGTACACGGAGTCTTCTCTTCTTCAATATCTTTTATCCCAAGGGATACTCCAGGGAATACTAAATCGGTCGAAATTAATCAAATGGCAGCTTGAAATGGCAACCAAAAATATCTGATCACTTCTAGGGAGCGGAAACGCCATTCTCAACTTTTTCAAGTGGTGGTATCAGAAGGACGGCATCCTAGATTTATTTCCAGAAATGGTTTCTGTGAAAATCAGCCTCCAGCTACTCGTGTCGGCAACTCAACTCGAGGTTCTCGACATGGAATGCAGCGGTTCACTCCTCGACAGTGAAAAGCTCAATTCGAATGAAAAACAAATGTACGTTTCCACAAAGATAGAGGCTTCTCATGGAGTCACCGGCTTTGTTCTGGACTCACTCTGGACTAGCAAGCGCCTGAAAAAGGTCATTAGAGGTAATTTGAGAACGCTGAAAACACTGGAAGCCCAAAGTAGAAGAGCAGGCCAATCAACGGTCCCCTTCGCATATCGGACACAGCCCACCAGCTCTCTCTACGAGCTTTTAGTCCCCTTAGGAAGAAGTATGGCGGAAACTGGTTGTGTCCCGAAGCCCAAGTCCGTCTCAGCAACGTCGTCAGAGTCATCTACTAGGACCAAGGAGGTAATCTTTCACGTCCAAAATAACCCCAACTTAAAGACTAATGCCATAGCTACAGCCCTATAAATCGTCATTAGCGGGAATATCCGTGCCATCAGATTCTTCAGCTCCTTCGCGTGGAGCAGAGTTCCAAAAGGATGCATCTTCTTACGATCACGAGGCCCTGTACAAAGAAGAACGCCGCTCACAGTATGAGAGACTTTCACGCAACCGGTCATCGTCGGCTAAGACTACGCCGCCATCGCCACCAGGCCCACCAGCTACTGTACGCAGTGTCAATCATGGAAGCGGTGCGAGTTCGAACATGCGGGAAGCTAGATCCGTTCTCGCATTGCAACTTCAACGCCAGCAGTCTGAAACGCTGCCTAAGAGAGTATTCGAAGTGAACACTGCGAATTTCGATAAGTTGCTTGCTCGCTCTCAGGTATTAGAGAATGGCCAACTCTCTGGCAAAACCGTGACTGGCAGGGTTAATACCACTCTTGAAGTCAGCATAATCTCGATCACCGAAGCCGGAAGACTTGATCTGAACGTGATCTCGTGCGAACAAGACAAGGAAACAGAATTTAAATTCGACCAAGGGAAAAATCAGCCATGTATCGGCATGGTGACTTTCACCATCTATCACAGCCGCATCGCTTCTTCTCAATCGCCGACCACAAGTCATAAAGTCTACGTGGTAGAGCACTGCCGCCCAGAGCTAATATTTGGCAAAAACTTCTTTGATAGAGATGGAAACTCGAAGCAATAGGGAGGGACATGCGACACCCACACAAATACCTTTGAGAAAGGTTTCTCTGTCTCTGTATTTTCATCGTTCCATGTAATAACAAGTAATTGGTTTTCAGATGTATTGGCCTTAAGATTGGCAGCCCTAGTAGCTAACTATTTCACTATTCGGTATGAGTATCAGACAATCGGGACAAGGGTTGAAGCCAGACCTTACATGCAGGTACGGGCGGAACTGGTTACTTTGATTAAGAATGAATCATGAACATGGCTTGATTTCCATTCGCATCGAATGCGACTACTAAATTCTTCGTTGAGGTAGATTGCAATACAAGACTTCAATTAGTCACTGCCCTATTACTAAGTCGTAGAACCCAGAGCTACCAAACCGATATGAGTAAGTGCAATTGTGTACTGCTGTTTCTGTTGCTCACCAGGTCGTCCCGGAAACCCAGTTCAATCCCCGCAAGACTAGTCGCACCCAGGCTTGCTTTTGCGCACTGCAACTCTCCTATCATCTCCTATCAGTATCTCAGCCCCCAAGAAGATGCAGCCAACCAGTGACAGAACCTGCGCCCCGCCGCAATCTGGCAACCCGGATCGGCATCTCGGGGCGGGGCGGAGTTGCACACAGCACGTCAGCTTATCAGCTGAGATGCTAGGCTTTCAAGGATGGAGACGGGGCACATCGGCTACCTGGTGTGGCTATGCGTGCCTGCGCTCTTTTCCATGTCTTCAGCTGGCCTTCAGACTGTCCAGTTCCTGACCAGTATTCTGCATCTCGTTTGAGGAAGCGCAGTAACCAGTGACCAAGATGTATAAGACGCAGTTCTGGGTTGCCATTGTGGCGGGTATTGAAACCTCCCTGGCCAGCTGCAAGTTAAGCACCTCGCAAAGCTGGCATGGAAACTCATCAACTACGGTACCTCCGGTGTTCCCGCTGCTTGGAGATGTGGGGTCGGCAGACTTGTTCCCGATGCCACTCTGTGGAAATTTCAAGTTGGAAGAGGCGACGATTGACGAGATGCAAGCAGCATTGGCTGCTGGGACACTCACCTCTCAGCAGCTAGTCGGATGTTATATCCAACGAACCTACCAGACGCAGGAGTATATTCAGTAAGTAAACTACTTTAGCTTACACGTTGGAGTTGCATCTGCGAAGAAGATGGTTTACCATGATATGAGTGGATGTACACTAATGCGCAACACAGCTCCATTCTACAAATCAATCCAGATGTCTTCCAGCTAGCCGCGAAGATGGACTTGGAACGCAAAGCTGGAAAGATACGAGGGCCACTACATGGTATCCCATTCACCGTCAAGGACAATATCGCCTCCAAGGACAACATGGAGACGACAGCGGGCAGTTTTGCGCTCTTGGGCAGCATCGTCCCCCGCGACGCTCACGTAGTCAAGCGTCTCCGCGAAGCCGGCGCCATCTTGTTTGGTAAGGCCGCTCTGAGTGAGTGGGCCGATATGCGCAGCAACAACTACTCTGAGGGTTTCTCGGCTCGAGGCGGCCAGTGCCGAAGCCCGTACAACTTCACGCTTAATCCGGGCGGTAGTAGCACGGGAAGTGCTGTTGGCGTGGCAGCGAATGCCATTGCTTTCTCGCTGGGCACTGAGACAGATGGCAGTGTCATTAACCCCGCCGAGAGAAACGCCATTGTGGGATTCAAGCCCACAGTTGGTCTAACTTCCAGGGCTGGGTATGGCCGCGTCTCCCGGACCTGTCGTTTGGAAGTTTTGCTAATTCGGAGATAGGGTCATACCTGAAAGCGAGCATCAAGATTCTGTCGGAACCTTCGGACGCACAGTCAGAGACGCTGTGTACGCCTTCGATGCAATCTATGGCATTGATGAGCGAGACAACTACACACTGGCCCAGGAAGGCAAGACGCCTGAAGGGGGCTATACTCAGTTCCTGTCTACAAAGGAGATCCTGAAAGGCGCCACCTTCGGACTTCCCTGGCATAGTTTCTGGGCTCTTGCAGACGATGAACAGAGGGAGTCTCTGGAGCAATTACTCAGGCTCATTGCCTCAGCTGGGGCAACGATCATCAACAACACTGAAATCACTGACTATGAGACCATTGTTAGCCCGGATGGTTGGGACTGGGACTATGGCACCACAAGAGGCTACCCGAATGAGTCCGAGTACACGGTGGTTAAAGTTGATTTTTACAACAACATCAACACGTATCTTTCTGAGCTAGAAAACACCAACATTAAGACTTTCGAAGACATCATTGCGTTCAACTTCGACAATGATGGAACCGAGGGCGGTCATCCTTGGCCACTTGGGACAGCCGCGTTTTACTCGGGCCAAGACGGTTTTCTGGCGTCTCTGGAATCCAAGGGGATTAAAGATGATACTTATCTCCAAGCTGTCGAGTTCTCCCAGCAATCAACGCGAATTGGTATCAACAATGCCCTCACCACTTCCAATGGGACAAAGTTGGCTGGACTCCTAGTCCCTCCTGACGTCGGCCAGACGTATCAAATTGCTGCACAGGCCGGATATCCCATGATAACCCTCCCAGCCGGCGTCCGCTCTAGCACTGGAATGGGTTTCGGCCTCGCCGTTATGCAAACTGCCTACGGGGAAGCAGAGTTGGTCAAGTGGGGAAGTGCGATTGAGGATTTGCAGTTGACGACGGAGGGAAATCCGTACAAGCGGACTTTGCCTAATTGGTATGAGTACCTCACACGAAATGTCCCAGTCTTCTGATGTATAAGGACGTTTATGAGTCCAAGTTCTCAAGCACTATATTTACTTAGAAACTTGGAGATAAGTCGTTTCCCGTTTGTCTTCTGTCTGAATGCAGGGCGATTCACGCCTGACTGAGGTTGGCCGAGCAAGGGTGAAGACAACCTCTATTGAAAAAGCTGAGATGTGACAAGGAATTAGTGTATGAATTGGGCGGTCTATGTAGCTAACGAAATCAAAGTTGTCGCGTTGAAATTCTGTATTGATTCAAGTTGTTCTTGGCCACACAAAATCATCGGAGCCGGGTCGGTTCTGGACATTCAAAATGTAGCGATGGCGACGAAGCTTTACCTTACGCCACGATTCATCGTAAAAGTGTGACCATGAACAATACCGCATTTCGAGATTCTTCCCCTCGGATGAGGAAATTACCTTTTCCTAGTTCTAGGATGTGGGGATAACTTGCCGTGTGGGATGAGATCATGCGCTGACATCCTCCGTTGCCGACTAAGAAGTTGCATCAGATTTATGATGGAGCCCATATTAGCTTGTATCACGAGTATGCTCTGCAAAGAGGGTCTTGAATTCGCCATCAATCCAAACATAAAATACTTCAAGATGCCAGGCCATCCCAGACCGGCTCCGGAGTCCGCATGTTCCGCGACTCGAGGTACATCATAAGCCCGAGTCGTTCATCCCAGGTCGCCGGCTTGGCGACCCACGGTTTTTAGTGAAAGACAACAGTGCAGCGTTTAACTTTACTCGTGGACAACAAAGAAGAAAGAGCGCGAAGAAATTGGTGTAACGTATGTAAGAGCTCATCCTCACCCAGGCCAATCAGGCCTTGTTACTTGAATCAGCTTCTCATCATACTAGAATTGATGTGTATGCTTCGGCGTCAGCTTGAACCTGGCGCGCGGCGAGCCAATGGCTTGAAAGAGGTACACCGTTTTGACGGAAAGTGAAATGTTGAATATGTGTTTCCATGCTCAATGAGAAATTATTCATTACAGCAGTGAGCCAAAAATAAACGCCCCCCTTTCACCAACGATTTGAGCGGTCAACACCCATGTAGTTCAGACTCAGCATTCGTCAGTATTCGTACATGGGTATAAGTTGTGACCTGGACCAAATACCCAGTGTCCTAGGATCTCGGACTTTGTGTAGACAGCACCGCCTGCCACATCCAGAACTCTATCGTCTGATCCTTGGGATGGTATATTAGCCGAAGTGCAATCCTTGCCAAGTGTGTGGCCGTATTCCGACGATCATCTTGGCTTAAGCAACTCAAATTTCATGTAAAGCGCACATCGAGCTCGCTACCGGCTATGTGGATAGCCAAGAACCAAGTCTATGTGGCTCTATGCTACCTACCTGTTCTGGTCACAAGGTCGCGCGTGCCAAGCATGTCAGCAACGGCCATAGCGGACGTAAGGCTGTGTTGTAAGGAATCGCACTCTGTTCTTGTTGACGAAAGTTTGGGTTCTCGCCGAAGATTAACCTCTTTCGCGTGAGGTAATTCTCGGAGAAATAGGCCGGGGCAGAAGTTCTGATGACTAAAAACTCAAATTTATTGACAAGGCTCCGCCGCCAAGACGCATCCGACAACGAAGAAGGATCTGATAAGCTGGGCCGGCGGGACTCCCGCGCGCTTGAGAGATTTCTCGACACCAGCGGGGCGGCTACAAGGTAGTGAACAGAGGAATTTGGCTCGGTCAGGTGTTTGCGAGTGGAGAGCGTAACGCAAACGGAGTTGATGAAGCAGAAAAAGGAAGTTGGCGAGAAAAGAGGTCACTCGGAAGTCGGGAGAATTCCACTTGTTCCTTGTCGTTTAGGTTATAATTTACCTTAAACAGCCTTGTCATGTGGTGATCAGCAGCTGCAGAAAAGAGGCGCGGAACATGGCTTTAACATTCCCCGAAGGTCAAATCAGGCTAAGATCCCGTTAGTGCTTGCAGTGCCGTCGCACATAAGTTGTACAGAGCCAACAGTATATGGCTCGCTAATGGATCATGGCCTCCGCAACTCCGTCAACTCGATTCTGTATCCTGTTCTGTTAGTTGTCCAAAAGCACCGCCGCACGACTTGGCAGCTTGGCGACTGATCCATCTGGCGGGCCCATCTCCGAGCTTCCCCCTGCATATGTTGACCTTCCGAATCAGAATTTTGATATGATACACATTTGTGGGATATGCTGTAAGCATAGTAACGGCTTCGAAATGCTTCCGGTCGAGCGCCAAGTGCTTTGCCATGGAGACAATGGGAGTTGTGTATAAGTAAAACGATTCATCGTGTCTCATCGCTGGAGTTTGGATGGATCTCTCAGCAGCTTTCACTCTCTTGTACATAATCTGCTGGTTTGCAGAGACGCTCATTGTTCACCATGCCGTTCTTTCACCAATCTAAGCCTCAGTGGCTGACGATTGCATCCGCGGTTCTTCTCGGAGCAAGTTGTGTCGCTGACGCCTACGTGATTCCCCGCCAAATCAACTCATCTCAGTTACTGAACAGCTACGATTATGTCATTGTGGGCGGCGGAACTGCAGGTTTGACTGTCGCAGACCGTCTGACGGAGGACCCTGAGACCAAAGTCTTGGTTCTTGAAGCTGCAGACTGGGGCAACATGCCCGAGAACCTCAAGGTTTCCTTCCTCACTCGGACTTCAGCCTTTACCGACCTTCTTTGGCCCGGACTCCAATCCGTACCCCAGCCCGGCCTGAACGGCAGAACCGGTAATGTCTTCATTGCCAAACAGGTCGGAGGTGGTGCGTCGGTGAATGCCATGATGAACATGCGCGGCTCGGCCGAAGATTACGATCGCTGGGCTAGCCTTTTCGGATCCGAGGCCCAGCAGGGAACTGCCAACTGGAGCTGGGATGGCATCTTGCCGTTCTTCAAGAAGGTACTTAAAACGGGAATCTAAAGCAATAACTTATTCATCGCGGCGCTAAACTGACCATCACTCAAACAGGGCCTTCACTTCACTGAGCCACCTCCTGAGCTGACCGATAACTTCGACAGTGTCAAGTATGACGCCTCCTACTGGGGAGACTCATCGGAGATCTACGCAGGATGGCCCCGATTCTACTACCCCGGTGTCAAGCCCCTAGTTGAAGCTTTCAAAGAGATCGACGGGGTGGAGTTCCCGGCTGACAGTGGTGCCGGCAAGCCCGGTGTCTTCTGGTTCCCCACGCTCATGGATCCCCGTACCGTCACCCGCTCCTACGCTGGCACCGGTCACTATCTCAACGTCAATGCCACTCGCCCAAACTACCACCTTTTGCTCAACACTCAGGCCCGCAAGTTGATTCTTGATGACAAGCTCTGTGCTACAGGTGTTGAGTTCCCATTGGGAAACAACAGCTTCGTCACTGTCACTGCAAAGAAGGAGGTCCTCCTCGCTGCTGGCGCCATCCACACTCCCCAACTCCTGCAGCTTAGCGGCATTGGACCCAAGAGCCTTCTAGAAGCTGGGGGCATTGATGTTCTTGTCGACCTCCCCGGCGTCGGCCAGAACTTCCAAGACCACAGCAGTCTCTCTACAATGAACATTACTCGTAAGTGATGAGACAGTCTATGGGCGCGATGCAATAGACTTTCAGTCAACGAGGAAAACCTAACCCGCGTATAGTCTCCAAGCTCACTGAGATCCACCCTAACCCGACTGACCTGGTTGAGGGAAATGCCTTCAAGACTTGGGCCGACGAAGTATGGGCAGCCAACAAGACGGGTCAGTGAATCTCTAGATCAGAGCTATCCCATTCATATCTGCTACACATTGACTGACTCATTGCAATCCGCACATATGGAACAGGCCCCTATTCTATTGCACTGACTAACTTGGCCGGCTGGCTCCCTTTCACCGCCGTGTCCGACCGGGCTGAGGAGCTCGCTACCAAGTTGGAGCAACAGGACTTCGCTAGTCTCCTGCCGACGGATGCCGCGTCCACAGTTGTCGCCGGCTTCGAAGCGCAGATGAAGATCCTGGCCGCACAAATGCGCTCCAAGGACACGGCATTCACTCGCATGCAGCTCATCGCAAACCAGGGATCTCAGGGCCCCGTCGCGATGCAGTCCTTCAGCCGTGGCACCATCAACATCAATACGAGCGACCCGTGGAATACTGAGCCCGTGATTGACTACCGCGCCCTATCTAACCCTATCGAAGCCGATTTCTTTGTCGAGTCGATCAAGTTCCTCCGCCGCTACAACTTCAACACCTCCCTGGCCACCGAGTTTGACCCGGTTGAGTATGCACCCGGTCCTGATGTCACCTCGGACGAGGATCTCAAGGCTTACATTGCCGGCGCCATGTCACCGACTGATTACCACCCCGTCGGTACCGCGTCTATGATGCCACTTAACCTGGGCGGTGTTGTCGACCAGACATTGCGGGTATACGGAGTGAAGAACCTGAGAGTCGTTGATGCCAGTGTCATGCCCATGGTTCCCAGCGCCAACACCTGTCAGCCTACTTATGCTCTTGCGGAGAAGGTGAGTCTGCAGCTATTACTTCTCTGGTTTTCTGGCCCCGTTGCTCCATTTCACTGACAAAACTTTCCCGATTAACAGGCAGCGGAAATCATCAAGCAGGGCGTCTGAGTTGGTTCAAATTCTTGATATGCTCAAATACATTCTTTTTTTCAGTTTTCATTACTTCCGCATGTACATGAAATGATTGTGAACCTTTACAACAGAGTGTCATAGTCTAGTACTACAATACCAAGGTGTGAAGTATGTGCGTTACTATTGTATCAATTGACGTACAAGTTGTCGAGGAGAACAGTAATTATCCCCGTAGCTGAGGCAGGAGAGCGTCCGACCTCAAGACAACCGTCTTCATAAGTGTTTCTCCACTCGTTCCAGATCTAACCTGTTAGTATAAGAATATAACAGGGACGGGCTCTGATCAGCCCACCATTCGCCGCTTCCATAGCATCATACAGAATTGGGTAATGTGTGTACCTTACGTCAAGTCGATTAACAGATTGTTAAGTTACCCGCAGAGGATGAGTTGTCTTTACACGGGTTAAACTTCGGCGCAAATAAGAACAATAGGATGTGCTGGGGATAACTTTCAGCAATATCAATCGAGAAAAGCGATTCACTGAGGCTACATGTATAATCACGCACCTGTTGCTATCACAATCTGATCGTTCATCATGATGTTGTTAGGTTGAGACGCGCCGTGAGACCGTGCGGAAACCAGCCAATCGAAATCACCGTGGATCGCATGAAAAGCCTATGTGTCAATCCATACGGGACTCTGCATACTTCCCCTACCAAAGGCAGTGGATACTACGAAGTAAACTGATGTCAGCCGATAATCAACGCTATGCTCAAGCTGTACCCTAACCAAGATTAGATACCATCCAGTAAGCCCATCATCTTTAGGCAGCAAAAGTTCGTGGAACAAGCATTGGCGTTGTGGGTTCGACCGCGCCACGACGCCGTTTATCTCGCCCGATGCTGCGGGCCGCCAATGCGTGGATTTCCGACCGTCCAAGACACAATGACGGGTTGGTTTCACTCAGTTCCCATGGAACAAGGCGCGGCACTCGTATGTGGAGCGTCAGCAATTGGTCTGCAGCTTCGCCTCGTCCGAGTTTCCCTAGCTAGGTAATACTAAGTACTATTGCGTGGGTTCGTCCCTTGTGAGCTGTGCGCAGTGAACCAGGAGGATCACGCTAAAATCTGATGGGAAAATGAAGCATTGCTCCGTGTTTTGCTACCGTGTCTGCCTGCCAAGAGAAAACGGAAGCTCCTTCAAAAATGAAATAGCTGCAAGTCCGCAACGATTGCGACTTTTGTGATATGGGGATGAGTTCTCGAAGGAACAGTCGAGCCAAGATTTCTATTGTCAACATGAGCCGCAAGACTTTCAACCTCGACGCCTCGGATTTACCACAGGACCCATACTATCCCCAGACAGACCCTACAGGCCCTAGTTTCCTTGATACAGAAGGTTGTCTATGTGCTTTACAGGTGACACCTGCCGGCGGAGCCCCGGAACCAGCTTGGCAATGCATCGGGGACCAAAGCAAGGGAAGCATCTACACAGTCAGGACCGGCAGATGGTTCAACACACTCAATGGGGTCGGTAATGCCAATGGACCCATAAATGATGCTTCAAATCCGCCGGATATCGAGAAGCCCCAACGGTGGCTCTCTGGAGCATTGCGAGACTCGCCGGGCAACGACGGGCTGAGTGTCTACGACAGCGCTTGCACCGGCAAGAATCACACCAGATTCTCGACCTCGTTTTACGAAGCAACGGCACAGATCAATGCAGGCCAGCAGCCATATAGTGCTGCGCCGTGTTACAGACAAGGGGCAGTCCCGATAGAGATTCAGACAGTGGAGAGTTGGCAGGCCAATGGGTGCAGCCCGGGTTTTCTATGTGAGTATGAGTCTCAAAAAACTTGCAAGCGTGCATCTAAAGGATATGGTTTGTTGACTTCACCCCAGGTGAGAATAATACTGTCAACTCGATACCTCAGTACTGTCCACCGCTGGACGCATGTCAAATGGCGAGGTTGGCATCATTCACTTGCAATTTTGGCGGCAAGAACGCTGGCATGGGTCCTTTTGAGCCTGTTGTTTGTCAAGCTGGAAACTATTGCCCGGAAGAGGATAACGGCAATTTTTCTATCGTCTGTCCAGCTGGCTCATACTGCCAGCCTGGAGCCGCAACCCCAACACCATGCTCGGTTGGCAGCCGCTGCCCCCAAGGTTCTTCCTATGAGCTGTTCCTCGTCCCTCTCGTTATCTTGATCATTGTAGACGTTCTGATGATCGCCGGCATGATTATCTATCGATTCCGTAAGCGCCTTCGCGATCATCATTCAAACAAGAACCGGAGGCCAACCTTGAAGCGGGGCATGAGCAGCATGAAAGCTCAGATCACAGGTTACAGGGCACTTTCGGAAGACACAGACCGCGAGATGCTCGCGATGAGCGCTACCTACATCCCAAACCGGACCGACTCGTATGGAGGAGGGTTTCAAGCCGCCCTTGACCTCGGTTCCGAATACTCGGTCAATGTACGGCCCACGAGCGAGATGCTCAACCCTCAACTGATGGCCTTTGTCTCCTCAATGAGGCGTGCGACTGATGCAAACAACTTTGGTCTGTCCTTCAGCTACTCTGACCTCAGTTTCCACCCTAAGAAGAGCTCCAAGATGATTCTTCGAAACGTCACGGGATCCATCGATCGGGGAACTTTGACGGCTGTCATGGGCGGATCCGGTGCTGGCAAGTCGACGTTTGTCAACGTTCTCATGGGTAAGACCAAGAACACAGGAGGCACAGTGGCTGTGAACAGTAGTCCAGACAAGTTGAAGCGGTACAAGAAGGTGATTGGGTACGTGCCTCAAGACGACATCGTGCTGCCGGAGCTCACGGTCTACGAAAACATTGTCCATAGCGCAAAAATCCGTCTGCCTCAGACTTGGTCAACGGCTGACATTGAATCTCATGTCGATTCTGTCATTGACTGCTTGGAACTCTCGCACGTACGCAGCTCCCTGGTAGGCTCAGTCGCTGTACCTATCATTAGTGGTGGGCAGCGCAAACGTGTCAGTATTGGCATGGAGCTGGCATCTGCCCCGATGGCTATCTTCTTGGATGAACCGACGAGTGGTCTTGACGCAACCGCAGCTTCATCTTTGATGCGGACTTTGAAGGCAGTTGCGCGGCTGGGAATCACCGTCATCGTCATCATCCACCAACCACGAACGGAAATCTTTGAGAATTTCGATAATCTCATTCTCCTCGGTAATGGTCAGACTATCTACGAAGGACCCCAAGGTGAAGTGCAGGACTATTTTGAGGGGCTCGGCTTTGGGTTCCCAAAACACAGCAATCACGGCGACGTGGTCACGGATATCATCACCGGAAACGGCCGCGATTACAAGCAAATGGGGGAGATCTCCAAAGATTCGCTCATTGCGTATTGGTCAGATCACCGCAAGGCTCTCGCGCATAAGGAAGGTCACACTTCCTCGATCATGAATAACAATGGCATATATGCCGCCATCAAGCATCGCGGTGCGCCGCTGTACAGACAGGCATGGCTCTGCCTCCGTCGGGCCATGCTCCAGCAATACCGCACCAAAGCAGCCTTTTGGGCCGAGATGGGTCTCGCAGCGCTCGCTGGATTTCTCCTAGGCCTGGCCGAGCATTCGAAGAAGGGTATCCTGTTCACGGGCACTTTCAAAGAGCCGTACTCGATCTTGTCAACTGCTGTGGACTTCAAGTCTGCCCCTGAACTTGCTCTATTGGTATCCATCGCCGTGGGTCTAGTTTCCGGTGCACCTGGTGTCAAGACTTTCTCGGAGGAACTGCTTGTGCATCGGAGAGAAGCCGAAGCGGGCCACAACAGGCTAGCATACTTCCTTGCCAAAGTCGTCTCGGTCCTTCCTAGTATGCTCTTTGGCTGTCTTCATTTCACGACATTCTTGTTCATCCTCACAGTGCCGGTTATCAATTGGGGGCTCGCTTTTCTCACCAACTTCTTCTACTTTTACTGCATTTACGGGCTGGCCAGTATCGTCAGTATGCTTGTTAGGCGAGAAGATGCCCCCTTGTTTGCGACCATGATTAGTCTTATCGTTGCAATCTTGTCTGGGGCTGCCCCTCCACTAGCCAAAGTCAAGGAGTGGCACTTGGAGTGGCTTTGGCGCGCTTCACCTGGTGTCTGGCTGGCAGAGATCTACTTTGGCCAGCTTGTCTCGCCTTTTGGCTATTTGTATGATGTCGACTCTGCTGCAGCGGCGACTGGCTTCCATTTGAATTGGTTATGGCGCAACATGGGAGTTTTGGTTGGAATTGGCACTATCTATAGAGTGGTTGCATTCCTTGCGATGATTTTCGGGCAAAGCCGGCGTAGATAAATTGCCCGGTACATATAGACCTATTCAATGCATGAGCACGGCGGTGGAGGGGAGGATCTTGTTTAGCACTATCCAACACGTTTACCCCGACGTATGTTTGCATACATACATCATGGATAGAGGACCAAGCTCTTTGATACGACAGTTAAGATCATCATGACCTGGACACGCGAAGTGATTCCTGTTGCTGCACCAAAGATGATGCCTGCAGCATGTGCGAACGACAGCATGCAAAAGCACTGCGGTATTTCTGCTTGTGCGAATCTTCAGTGTCGGAAGTATCTTCGGACAAGCTCAAGGGGAATTCTGATGACGAGTTGCGAAGGAGGCTACCCAGCCTAGGAAGAGCTGAAAGTTCGAGGAGAGTCATGGTGATCCGAAGCGAATCACTGTGATCTCTCAATCAAGAGCGGCTCTGTCACGCGGAGAGAAACAGTGTGGGAGGTGAGCGAGTCCACAGAACGAGGGGCCATCGGGAACAAGGGACGAGCGCGACTCGCCTGCAATTGTCTGCCTGGGCAGAATTTTCGTCGAGAATCTCCGCACTAACCTTGCTAGGCTGATGCCGGATGGAACATTGGCTGTCAAAACCCCGGTGAAGGCCGGTTCATTGGATGGGTATGTGCGGGAATCCAGGCGAGGCCGCGACAACCATATCAACTATCATGACGCTGTTCCCAAACTTAGGCAAGAAGGGATTCGCTCAAA